TGAACAGAACAAAACTGTAAACCTAGCCATAGATGGTGCGATTTACATTGAAATCCAAACGTGTGAAGTGTGCTGATAAAACTTGTTCGAATCCGACTACGATCCTAATAACCTTATTCAAAGGTATACCCTCTCTGATTCTTTAGTGACACTACAATGGGAACAGGTAATGCTCGTAACAATATAACTGTATTCCGTTTTCAAAAGATCACTCACAATATTCTATAGATATTTCAAAGGGCCACGTTTTGTATCTGCGCTAAAGCATACTTTAATATTCCTCGTTTTATACAACATTCAAAATAGATGTCCCAAAGTGGTCCGGGCCTATGTATACACCATCTCAAAAAAGAAGAAACTAGTTAACCTACCTATTTCTTTTATGTTGTATATCGGTGTGTACACATCATTGGAAGTACAATTTGACTTGCTATGTCTTCATAAGATAATGTATTATACAAATACATTGTGTACTGAATAAATAAAAAACATTACTATCTGAAACAAAGAGATTGTCACAACGCAAAACCGAAACAATTTAGGAAAGCTCATTTTCTATAATGATATTATAAAGGAATCAAACAGGGGACCACAGAGATAGTGTCACTGAAACCAGCACGCTACCACTATGCCACGTAGGTCGGCAAGTAAAAAACTGTTTTATAGTTTCTTTGCCTATTGTTACTTTGATGATAGATCTGCAGGTCTACCGTGTAACTCAATAGGCTCCGATTTGTTTGAATCGACTTGAATAAAAGGCTTTAAACGTTCAATACAATTGTAGCTTCCGGGTAAGCTATTTATTCGTTCATGAAGTCGATTACAGCCCACAATATTATGCGGTTGCATTTAATTGTATTTAAGATTGACTACATTTGATTCAATCCGATGTCAAGTTTCCAATTCGTATGGTGGTACGGGATGGCAGGTGACTCTCAACTCCATACATTTTGGTACATATCCTTTTTTGAAGAATAATACCGGGAATACACTTTCAAAATGCAACGCCATTTGAGTGATAGAAAGCGACGCTAGTTGAATTGAATTGTATCATCACCATAAAATTGTATGTATCAGACATAATCTGTTGTACTATTGTCAGATCATAATCTTAATAAAATTAATAATCTAACCCAGCAGCTCTTAAAACGTTTTTCCTATTGATCCCTTTTGGACACAAAATATTTTCCTGGAACACTAACATCAAATTTAGATTTATTTGAAACAGTGATTATTAAAAATGAACATTGTATATTTTCTTTTAATTCCAGACACTTTCCGAAATATGACCATGACTTTCCATGTGATTTGCAAAGATCTAGGGCTCCGTGGATATCACTTCAAGAAATAACGATATTTAAGTTAAATTATAATAAAAAAATAGGTCACGTAAAAATAATTAATGTTTGGTTTATATTTTCACGTTACGTAATATTACGTCAAGAAACCCCTCTAGGAGCACAAAGGCAGACAGTACAAGTTTTTCAACATGGCTGACACTGGAGCAATTAGATGCGGCCAATGGGGTGGAGTTCACATTGGATGGAGCAGACCGAGGTGCGGTACTCGGATTTCGATTAATCATCTCGTATTGTCTTCATTGGTTACTGTTGGAACAACCAATATAAATGGTTCTTGACTATGTACTCAGGCATTCTATGCTGATATCGGTTGATTATCCTGACTTACCAGAATGTGTATCATCGATAGTTATTTTAGGAAGAGCAAGGATACTTCTACCCGTTCCTGATAAATGTGATAAATTTGGGACAAAATCTTTCAAAACGATGTTTGAATGGATTTTACATATAGTAGATAAGAAAAACTAAGAATGTAGTAACACTAAAAACATGTGTCATGGCTACATGCCCACTGTCTATCATTCAATGTCAAGTGAGAATATAATTAACAAACGTTCGGTTTTACGTAATTTGTAACACAACCGTTTCTACGCCTTATTTCCATATATTTTTCAATACGGCATAAAGGATATTTGTATTTATTCTTCAAAGAAACATCAAAATATGCAAGGAGTAAAAAATATATAAATTTTCGAAAAATATCTGAGATTCCTAATTTGCATTTAACATTCCGTGGTACACACAAGGATCAACGGTGACTTTACGGACCGGGTTTTAGGGCCCTCGACCGTCGAACGACTCGGTCTCGGAATAATCAAGCGTGCCTCCCCTCGACGCGGTCGTTCACACACAATCGACGCGGCAAGCGCCATCGGAGTCCTACCTACGCTCAGCGGTCGAGTCCACACAAAGCTTCCACCCATATCTAACTACGCTACCCTCATTGCACTACTTCAGAATTTGTTTCTGCACGCAACCGCTAACCTCGCCTCTAACACCGTAGAACAAGATTCACATTTGAAATGAATGCGTGCTTTATCTACAGAGGTGTACGTAGTTTCAAAGTAAAACTAAAAACTATATGCTTAAAGCAGAGGTTCGTGTGGCTCTTTATGATTTTACAACGCAATGTGCATTCAATTGTACCTTGAATATTGAAAACCACTTTTATGTCGTACGCGCTGAATCGAATACCCAGAGACGCGCGCTGGTAACGCCACGTGTTTACGCAGGCCAACTGGCGGTGATGGATGGGGGACTAGTTCACTTTACAAATGTTACAAACTTTTTGATTTTTCAAACTTAGCGTAGAAATACGAAATGGCGTAGAAATACGAAATGGCGTCGAATGATGAATACGTTATTTAGAATATATCCAAAATTTATATAGCTATTTTCGATCATTAATTGCAAAAGGATTTTCTTTTGAAATTTATTTTAAACTAGCTGTAGGCTGCGGCTTCGCCCTCATTTAAAGGGATTTTTTTTTGTGGTAAGACGTAGCCATATCCATTGTCATAAAATAATACCATAACATAAAATAAAACCAAAATAAACACATCTACACAACTACTTAATTGTTATTCAAAGAAGTCGCCAGTTATTGTGATGCAAGCATCTAATGCCAGGGTACTTATATACTGGTAGGTTTGAAGACTTCGTAATAAATATAAGGAATTAAAATCTTTTGAGAATTCGAAAATATATCCAAATAAACAAGATCAAATTCTACCTGAATTTGCTCTAAAGTGCTTTTTAATGTGAATTTTCTTATTACAAAAAATATCATTGTCTTGGAATATGTTCTTAACCTAACTTTCATGGACATTAAGACCAGAATAATCGTTAAAAACGGGATTGCTCCTATGTAAGGTTAATCTTAAAGGTACATTACCATGTTGCAAACCCGTTTTTTGCAATCAGTCGAATATCTTAGTTGAATGATGTCAGTTCTGTTTGTAGTACACTCTAAACTTATTTAAAAGTGTGTGATATTAATATGGGTTTGTTTTAATGTTACTCTGTAACATGTAACAGGACATATAATATACTCATGTTTATAAGTTTCCTTTTACTTACTTATAAGTTTATGTATTACTATTTACAGAATTGAAGAGTCTGACGGGATTAATATATTTGACAAATTTGTGCAACTAAATTTGCTTACAATATTGATTCATTGAAGTTATAACAGGGTAGAAAATCTCTTTGAACAACTCTTACGGCAGCACATTAACCTACTACAAAACTTAATTTTCTTTAGTTTTGAGGCATGATAAATGTAGATTTGACTTCACCGATAAGTTATGAAATTTACAACAATAATCTTCCATTGCAGATCTTTTCTGTACCTTCTTAAAAGTATATATGACAGACAAATTTATGTAAATGACATCTAATATTGATAACTTTCTTACACCCAGCTTATCAGTCGAAAGATGTGGGTAGATAAATAATGTTATATGATTAATGTGCTTAAATTAAATTAAAATTAATAACTTCATTGATTTTTCAATTAATATTTCAATTACAACAAATCTTATGGTGTAAAATCTGATGAAAAACTTAAGAATGAGGTAAGTATTGTAATTGTTATCATTGTATGATAAACAAAACAACCTTATTAAAGGAAATATATTTTTTTAAATACATATTTTTAGATGACTGTTCAAATATTTCAGATTTTTTTTATACAACCATTTCAGAACAGGTAACAGCTAAATAATTGTTCCAGACAACCAATTCAAATAAAAAATCTCTCCCATTGTATTCTATATGATTAAGCTATACCAAATTGTAATCATGTGTCTCGGGCTATATTTCTGGGAAGCAAAAATTATAAAAGGACCTGCCTATTGTTAACTTTTTTATATGGATACAACATGATTCAATATATGTATTTAGTCAATTTTGCATTTAATATGCTATATTAATATTTTTTGAAGAAGAAAATGCTTATAAAATCAGTGGTACCGGAAATGGTATTTGACGGTTCGCACCCATAACCTTTTACATTTTTCTCTAAGTTAAATAATAGTATGATGTTAAAATGTAACAATTTTTATAAGCCTGGTTTTTTAAGTTTTCGCATGAAATTGACTTTAATAAAGTGTTTGTTACAATGGTCACTAGAAATTAACAAGGAGGTATTACAGGAAATAAGGGCATTATTTGCACAAAACCATCAATAATGCTTAAAAAAAATTAAAACAAATTCATTGCTATTATTAAGTTACGTTAAGAACTTTTAAGTATTAATTTTTAAGACATGCTATGAAATTTTAAGAATTGAATGCCAATGTCTGAGTGCCCATTAGGTACCAGTACCCTCAAAACAACATCCTTTAAAAAAATTACAAACCAGTTACAAAGTATCAACCAAAATATTCTCCTCATTGGAATTGAAATGAAATCATAATTAATGCTTTAGTGAAACAACTTCATGTTTTATGTAGGTAATTTAGTTTGGTGTTAAAAAGATTAAACTTTTCTTATTGTCCAAGGTCTGTGTAATACCAAATTTCATTATGACTGTGCCTAAAACATTATATTTGTTATATCTGGGCACTACTCAGTGATCAAAATGTATTGTTATACTTTGTGAGTTTGTTCATATAAAACAATAAGTGGTAAGCTTACCATACGACGCCGAATGCACCGTATCCTATGGGGCGGTCAGGTTGGACATCCGTGGGGATGGCCGGCGTCTGATAGTAGGGCGCCGCCGCCGCCAGGATGGCGCCCTGCGGCGCGCTCTGCGTACCGCCCTGCATCAGTGACATGGACACACTCATGGAGACGCGAGAGTGCCGCGCGGGTCCGCTTACAGCCGCCATCCAACCGCTCAGCGGCTAGCCGTCACCGGAGCCTCTCCACCATCACACGCCAGACCCGGCGAACACCGAGCCACAATGCTCTATCACCAGGCTTTGCCTTCCAGTGAGCACAAGACAATATCACCGGTTACTTCTTTATTATTCATGCTCGATCGACTATGCGGGAATCACTGAATGCACACCACACTGGATACACTTGTCAATTTCACCAGTTATGTTACGGAGTTGACTGTTATGACAAATTAAATATGCAAAATTGTTTATTCTGTAGTTTGTTCCTGGACAAACAATAAAATCCAGGCGTGAATTTTCGACGGCACAACACGCAACCGTCCGCACACTACGGAAATCGAGCGAAACTGGAAGATGGAGGGAGGGAGGAAGGCGCGGGAGGAAAGAATGGACGCGCGGCGATAGAGCGAGTGAGAAAATAAAAATGGCGGCGATGTGATGAACAGCTGCTTGGGCTAATCACACGTTGTGTTGTGCTTGTGCTAACTTATATTTTATTTATAGATATGTACACCAAGTATATCTATAAGTATTTGTAATTTGATAATATTAAAATTTATCTTTTGTTAATTTTATTGTTGCACAGTTTTCCTACTATTAAGAAAATTAAATATTTTCAATTTTTTTTTGGTACTTTTATCTTTTTTTTTAATATTACCCTTCCTCTCAGAACAGGCTAAGGTCATAGACCATATTGCCTCATTAGCATTTTTTCATTTTTATATAAAAGAGGTTTTGCCACGCAGTGACTATGCCACCCCCATAAGGCTACGTACAAATGCAAAAAAAATCTGTTAACCATGTATCAATCACACACATCATATAGCATCCTAGTCGCTTTCAACAAAGGTGACGCGAGAATGTTATTACATTTCCAAGACTTTGATCATGATCATGGGAATATTTGTAGTGTACTCTTTCACCCGGTTTCTGAATTGAGAATTTCAAGTTAAGCACGTCTCAAACGGCATTTTAAACGTCACTTAAACAAGTTTTTGTTTCTGATTTTAGTTTTTTAATAATCAGTTGAGATTTGTACTTTTCTCAATATAGAAAACCAGCCGTTTGTGTCTAAATTTCATAAAGTTAATAAGTTCAGGATTAAATAAAATGAAATAAATAGAACGCCCACTGAATAACTATATATAGATACTTGTTACTTTTAGTTTCTAGAACACTTCTATCCACTGTTCAGACTCTTTGCTTCATTTGGAACACGGAACTTTCCAAGGATCTGAAACGTCTGAAAAATATCATAATTTTCATAAATATGTGCGAAACACCATTCAAAAGTTTGTTTTACCTTTTTAAACTTTGAACATAAACTAATAACAAAGAGACCCCACTTATGACGTATACTATAAATATGCAGTGTATTTAGAGAACGTAATAGTTACCAAAAGAGTATACTGAAGGCTCCACTAAAATTTGATGAGGACTATCGGTAATAGGTCAGCTGCACAAACGTCCATTAAGGTTTAAAGACGCCTTAAGTACACTTTTATTGTTTATTAATGAGGAAGTATTTAAAAACTATAAATTAGTTCTTGAAATCAAACTAGATGTCACTAGTGATGTATGGGATCTTGTCTATGATATTCATTCAAATTTTGTGTCTGACATAATAAAAGTAAATTAAGTATCGAAAATTAAAAAATATGACATCGATTCGTGTTTCTAATGATATTTGAAGGAACATAACGACCCGACGCACACGATACCACCGCAGAGATTTTTAGGAGAGCATGACTACTCTAGGTACTGTAACGTCCGTGCACATTATTATAGGTAGGGTTTACTCTTCGGACGGTTTATGGTCAAGTGCTGGAAGTTAATATTTCAAATTATTACTTTTCGTATTCGAATTCGAGTGTTCGTGTTTTGCTGGTTGTCAATTCCTTTTTCTGATCGAGACCAGCTTAGAGTGAGCATCATAGTTTTTGGTTTGGTTTGGGTGAAAATAAATCGAGACTAAGGAGTTCTACCAGTTTTTTCATTGCGCCACCCACCTCCACCATTAGACAAGTTGTCATAGTACTTAATAAGTAATATACTCGTATTTCAATAAAACTGATTTATAGGGTAGTATGATGAGAAAGTCAATATATTATTGTAAGAACCAAAAAAAGCACATACACACCGTACGAATTAACATAACACCTGGCTCGACGTCCGCCGTCGACGTTAAAGTTCAGTAGCGATAGTATAATAACTATACGTGTCTTTGTAATTTTGAAATTTAAAGTTTAAACCTTGGTGTTCGTTTCGAACGGACGTTTCTTGTTGATTGCTGAATTTTTATTAAGATGATTTAATTATGTATATGGGATTTGAAAACTTATCATAGTTGTTTTTAATTCTTCATTTCGAAAGGAAAACTTATTTGCTCGTTATACTTTGCATAAACGTCATTTTAGCCGGAAGTCATTTATTTTGTACGAATACTTAGTATATTTGATACATATCGGGTAAGTATATAGATATTAAACGCATTTTTTTTTAATTATGATTATCGGTTTTATGACTTTTGTTGCTGATTAATAAACCCTATTCATTCATTCACCACACATAATATAAAAATGTGATTGAAACTTCATGAAGTTTTGTTGCTATAAGTTCAACAAACAACTAATAGCAACAAAACTAACTTACCTAGTTGTTATTGTTTTCAGAACTTTTGTTAAATATTATAATGAAAAATCCCTAGACCTACTATGGCAGCATCGTAAGTATTTATGTTATATAAAAACTATTTCACGGTAATATTATTGTATACCGTAGCTAAATGCCACTTTCATTAATTTGACAGCATTCGTTCCATTGATTGCCATAACTTTGAGAAAAAACCTTCTCTATGCTCACTTCCGTTATGTTAGTTTCCATTTTCCTTTATACAAATAAAAAAGAAATTTATTCAAGGATTAGTTCGTATTAATCGAGTTGCGTTTACGTAACTCGAACTAATTGAATTTCAACTTAATATTAATCCGAGTTATCAGATCTATAACAACACTGACAATTAATTCATTCTCTTTGGTCTAACGTCATGAATTGACATTTAAATGCTACAATTTGTGCTGCCATCTAGTGACATATAGTTTTGTAGTTTCTTTATTTTTTATAAATACTTCCTCATTAAGAAATAAGAAAGAAAATAAATAATACCTTAGCTACTCATCTTGGAATTTGAGCAATGTGTTTGATGTTTTCTAATATTACTATTAATTCAATTGCCCATTTGCAGATGTTAATCTATTAATCTTATGAATATTTAATATAAATACTTAATGTTTATCTAATAATCACATTTCAATAGAATCTAAATGACTTCCATATTGCCATTGTACCTACTATCTATCGGAATGAAATCCAATATTATTAGATCCAACGTCTTCTTCACATATCAATGATGACAGAAATCTAATCCAATGAGGAAGTATAAAAAAAAAACGAAAGCTCTAAAAAGCACCTCCACTAGATGGCGACTCTAGCAAAAGTTGATTTTTGCAGGAAACGAAGGGGCCAAAGATAGTCACTTCCGTTCCTTTTGACTAACATATTAAAAAACTGAAATTTGAAAAATTCGAAGCTTGGATATCAATACAAATACGAAAAAGTATAGAGAATATGAGTCGTTTATTGAGTTTTGAAAACTAAATTTACTTTTAAACCTGTAAGAAAACCGGAAAGGTTGTCATGGAGAAATCAAGAACGTACCGTAGCGACATCTAGTTTGATTATTTTTAAATACTGCCTCATTGCAGCGAGGTTTACCAAAACTCATGCTATGCAAACTTAGAACTCGATTTTTTTTTACTTTACAGTGCCATCTATGTACCAGCTTTCAAAATAGAAATCATGGTGTAGCCACAATAAATAAATGTGTTTATAATTGGGGATAATTTTTAAAGGCATCATTAATAAATCTTATTTATTATTACTTGAAACTTAGTTAAAAAGCCTTATAATACTTAATATTATTGAAATAATATATCTTGTTACAGAATAATATAGTAATTATAGAATTGTCACTAGAAATGTTTCTAATATAAGTGGTAATATTAAATATACTATGGCAATATCAATTGAAAATGGCGCGTATGTAATGGTTTGGTATTGTGGGTAAACTTTAAAACTAACTTCGCAAATTGAAAATGTATTGAGTGAATGTCCGTGTGCTTGTTAGTTTTTGCAAGTTCCTGTAACTTTTTCTGCTTTTCACGTTGAGTTGATTAAGTTCGTCCGTGTAATCGAAATATATTGTGTTAGCAATCGTATTGTGTCTTGAAATATCCCGTACCGAAATGTTACTTGTTTTTAATTTGAACTTTGCTCAAAAAATCATGGCTCAAAACCGTTGTTGTGTACTTTAATGTTCAGTGACTAAGGATAGCGGTAAGTGCTTTTTAGTTTGTACAATAAATACTTTATGAATTGTACTATAATGACAAAGTTTTCAACCGATTTTTATACCTATACGTGGAGTTTCATAATTCAAATGTTTTTCAGGTATTTTTCTTTGAGCTATCGTAGAATACAATATTCATTAGAAAACTTATGTGCCTACAATTTAAGAATTGTTATTTGTTCATCCATTAACCAATAATTAAGGACTAATAATTTGTTGTGTGAATAGCAGAGAATAATACATATTATTATGTTACTCAGGTATCCCTTTGCACCGGTTTCCTGAACCTAGAACTAAAACAGAAATTTAAAAAATGGCTAGACAATGTTGGTGGAGAAATAACTCTGGATCCAATCAAAATATATAATAACATGCATATTTGTGGAAAACATTTTCTATCTATTTATAAATATCCCAATAATAGAATGCAACATAGCAATGCCTACACTTCATATGTCAGGTAATTTATTATTTATAAATAATACTGCATATTGAATGTCTACCTATCTATTTAAAGATGGAAGCAGCAGGCTATGCATTAAAATTCATTCATATGTGATTAACAATGACCAGTGAATAATTTTTCAAACTATAAAAAGTTTAAAGTAAAAATGAAATAGTAGAAAACAAATACGTTTTCTATAAGCTAAGTTCTTATAAAAAACATTATGTATTTTAATGTGGTTTTCATCAATATATAGAGTGGTACAAGAGGAAGGTTTATATGTACAATATAAGACCTTGTGGACGAAAGCTAGTTTCTTATACCATTGTTCAAATAATGCTCCTAATTTCCATGTTAATTTTTAATGTTTATTATAAAATAAAATATTATAAAATGTTTTTTTCTTCATGTTCAGCGCAATCAACTGGAGAACCTTACATAGTTGCAAGTGCCGATTTGCCATGTAGCTCACATTTTGTACCTTCTCAACTACATGCCAGCACATCAGGTTGGTAAACGTTTTTCTGATGAAAATTAAAATAGTTAAATAATCATCTTAAATATAATATTATTTTTTATATAAAGGAAAATTCATGAGTCAACATATAGTTATACAAAAATTGAATGTCCCTTTGTTCAAAATTGCAAATCTATGTTCTGTAACATAGGCCAATCTTTAATATTTTGAGCCAGAGACTGATAAGCCAATGATATCCACGAAATAACTTTATTTGTTATTATTTCCAGGTCAGCATACAAACCTTGGAAAGACACAAACACCTGTTGCCAAACAACAGTTGCCAAGAAAATTAAAAGGTATGTTTTGCAAAAATATATCTCAATTATCCAATTTGAAAATTGCTGCATGAAATTGGAAACAATCAGCAAATCTGAAAAAAGACATAGTCTAGATGATTTTATTACAAAACTGAATATTTTTGTACAGTGTGTAATGCAAAAAAAGAAACTATTTATTTTTGAGGCTTTAATTTACATTTCATGAAATTTGTTGCAGGTGTTTCTCTAAAAGACCATAAACAATATAAAATAATTGTGAATAAATTGAAAAAAATGAGAAGCTCAAAAAGGAGCTTTAAACAAAAATTGGCTCGTGCTAAATCTTTAATGAAAACCTCTGCTTTCCAAATAATTTCCAAAAATATGTCACCTACTGCAAAATTATTTTGCCGAATGCAAATGTTACATGGAAATAAGAAAAAGCAAGGGCATTGATTTACCATTGATGAAAAGATTGTAGCGCTATCATTATACAAACCTGCACCTAAGGCGTATCGTCTGTTAAGAAAATTTTGTATTTTACCTAGTAGACCAACATTGCAGACTTTGTTGTATAAAGTCCAGTTAAAGGCAGGCATAAATGAAATTTTATTTGACAACCTAAAATCCAGAGTTAGGAGAATGCCAGATAAATTTAAATACTGCACCTTGGTATTTGATGAAATGGCAATGGTGCTATTGCCATTTATTGGTGGTATTTATTACTGGTATTAAAGCATCAGCTTTAATAAAAAAAAAATTATCACAGGATTTGTTGATAATGGAGCAATGAAGCAAATAGTACAGTAACCATGTACTTGTTTTCTTAATTAGAGGCATTGTTAAAAAATATAAACAGCCACTGGCCTATTATTTTTGCAGTGGCAGTACAAGAACTTAAAGCTTAAAGCTTTGGAACTTAAAGCTTTAACCCTACAAGGCCCCCAGTGCCACATGTGGGACAACCATTTATATCGTCCCTACAACGATGAAAAACGTGCAGTGACATCTATTATCGATCAGAACACAACCGTTGGATATTTAGCAACAAAATAATACAAAGCATTGCGCATAGATGTTGCCACTGCTTCCTGTTTAGAGACTTTGGCAAAAAATTTGAGTAAAAGTTTTACGTTAACCACTCTCGTGATTTCACCAATTTCAAAAAATTAGTAATCGCATAGTTCTGAGTCCAAAAAAAATCAGTGAGAAATAAGGGAGGGTATATTATGCAGAGGTAAGTTATTTTTTTATATTACTGTAGTAATAGTATTTGAAATCGTCATTTTATCTATGTGCCACATACGGTACGTTGAGCTTTCGTGCTTCGTTTTACTATTTCGTACTTACGCCAAATAATTACTATTATTTTATTTTCTTTTATAGATTATGTCGCGAAGAGGATTGTGTAGTGAAGAAATTGAAGAATTTTTTGAATATCCCTTCTGGGAGTAAAGATGAGGAGGATTTTTTGACGCTGGAAGTTAGTTATTCCAAAAGCTGATATCTAAATCACTTAGCGACGAGGAAACTTCACTACTGCCGCAAAGACCATCTTTGTCTCCTGCCAATGAGTATGTTCATGTTGTGAAGGCCTGAAATATCAGACCTGCAGCCTAGTACATCAGGGACAACTACAAATACCATTACACAATCACGGGCATTTGGGGGATCATCAACTAAAACCTTTGGTACTACGTCTGTTGCCATAAGAAATAAAAGGAGATTCATTTGGAGAAAAACAACTTTTCATTCACCTCATTCTCCATTTACTGGAGACACAAGTTTACAGTCACCAATTATACACTTTGAAACACCCCTTCGATATTTTTTGTAGTTGAGACTATTTTATCATCTTCTTGATATTTTTTTGTTCAATAGCTGGTTATTGTACAAAAGAGTTGGAGAACAGAATAATACGCGAATTCAAAAGAAGTTCAAATTTAAGGTAGGCAAAAGTTTATGTATGTTATGGTTTCTGCGTCTGAAGAAATTGAGAAGAAAAGAAAGAAGCCCAATACTGCAATCCTCCCTCCTTGTGAGTTCAGACGTGAAGGGTTTGAGCATGGTCTGGGGTGAAACAAAGAAAAGACAAAGATATAAATAGCCTGGTTGCATAGGAAGACTTTATTTTTTGTGAGAATTGTCACGCAGAACTTTGCCTGAATAAAGATAATAATTGTTTCTGAAACTTTCATAAGAAGCTTTTTCAAACATAATTGTTTCTTATTTCATTTTGTTTCAGACTTTGTAATGTACATCTTTATTATGTTAATAATTATAAAATAAAAAAAGCTCGTGATAATTAATATAAGATACCTTTTCCTAATTATTACGTTTATTGTAGTTCAGTACCAAATAGTATAGTTAAGGCTCAGTGTACCATATATGGAACTGAAATAAAAAAATGATTTTCTGGTAAAATATTGGATTATTATTTTTTTATATATTTTTTCCTAACTACTAATAACTAATTACATCATATATATTTTTTCCACAACCAAAAAAAAAATTGAGCCTTGTAGGGTTAATAAAGAATATGATTATTAAAATTGCAGAAACTGGTCTTATGGTGGTAGCAGCAGTATGTGACCAAACTACATCAAATATTGCTGCTATAAACTTGTTGTCAAAAGAGATTAACGAAATGTATTTGAGAAGAGGGCAGCACTATACAGAAGGATTTTTTGAAGTTGGAGACAAAAAGTATTTTCACTCTATGACCCACCTCATTTAATAAAAGGGATCAGGTATAATTTGTTAACAAAAAATTTAAAATATAACATGAATGGAAAGGAATGTACTGCTAAGTGGAATCACATTCTACAATTATATGAAAGATGCCCAGGCTACAAAGGAGTGAAGATGGCACCTAAGTTGACAGCTCATCATGTAGTGCCATCATTATTACTAAAAATGAGAGTGAAACACTGCACTTAGGTGTTAAGTAAAACTGTTGGAGCTGCTATTGGAGTAATGACAGGTGATATTTTTTAATATTATTATGAGAATAGCTTGGTGGCGTAGTAGATAAGCGCCGCGGCCCGCGATCGTTGTCGTTAAGCAACTTTCGCAAGGGTCGGTCATGGGATGGGTGACCAAAAAATTATTATCTCGAGCTACTCCATGCTTCGGAAGGCACGTTAAGCCGTTGGTCCCGGCTGCATTTACAGTCGTCTATTCACTCCAATCCGCATTGGGTCAGCGTGGAGGGTCATGGCCCATCCTCCTTAACCATCCACAAGGAAAGCCTGAGCCCCTGCAGTGGGGACGTAAAAGGGCTGATGGTGATGATGATTATTATTATTATGAAATTTTAGAGTCCATATGTTTTATTATATTTTTGAGAGCAGATTTATTATAGAATTTTTTTCTGGTATACATAGTACATACATACTATAAACTAAAAAATTATATTTTCCATTACAAACCTAAACAAACATTATATTTTCATTGCAGAGTTTGGAGTTCTTGAAAAAGAATGCACTGAAACTGCAGACCTGTTGATGTTTTTTGATGACTTATTCGACAGTGTCAATGGCAGCTTTAGCAAACCAAAAGGGGGGAAAATGTATAGGACAGCAGTGACACCAACATCGCCTCATCATAAATTATGGAACAAAACCCTTCCAGTTTTAAGGAGCATGAGGTTTCATAATGGAATTAATCATGGGATAGTTCCATCGTTGTCCAGCTGGATAAAAACAGTAGAAAACTTCAAAAGAATTTTAATTTATTTGAATTCAAAAGGCATAAATTCATTATTGCTATGAAATTTCAACCAAGACGCATTGGAGAAATTTTTTGGGGCAATAAAGGCTCATGCCTGCAGCAATACGATGCCTACATCACAATCTTTTGAGGGGGCCTTTAAAACATTGCTTATTGACAATATTTCTTCTTCACATTCAGTGGGATCAAATTGCGAAATGGATGATAGCGTTTGTCTGCAAACACTAAAAGAACTATTGACTAAAGACGTAGATGATATACCCACTGAATGTGAAGTTGAAATTGAAAATGCTCATTTATGCATTGATTTAATGAATACAGAAAGTTTAATAAGTAGAAAAATTGGATACTGTAGTGGCTGGATAGCACAATTAGCAAAGAAAATTTTTTATATAAGCTGTTTATTATGTAAAAACAACATAGAAGCTAAAGAAAAGCAGATATTTCATACTTATATAATTTTAAAAGAGTTTGAAAACAAAAACTGGTTGTGCTATCCTACCCGAAACCTATTTGACTATGTTATCAATACTGAAAACAATAGAAGTTTTAAAAGAAAATTGCAATAAAAAAAAATATTTTGACATATATAAAGTTAATCATAAAGATTAATTTAGATTTAATTTTTTTATAATGCACAGAACACCAAATTCAACTAAAAGAATTCATAACAGAAAAATGTGCAGTATTTTTTATTAATAATTGGTGCAAAAATATCAATCATTTAATCAATGGCAAAATTCATTTTGGGATAGAAATGATGAAATGAAGGTAAAGGCTCATAACCATTTTTCAAAAAATAAAGATAGGAAGAGAAAACTGTGTGTGGATCACTGATGAATGTCTGAAATAAGATGGTTAATAAAGCTACAAAAATAACAAGTCTTTCATTGAAATAAACTAATTGATTTATTTTACTCGCTCTAAACATTTATAATAGTTAGCATTGAACATAAACCATATAAATATGACTCCTGATATACTTGTTTAATCATAGCAAATAAAACGAAAAATAATCTGCGGTCTTACATTATGTTTTATATTTAAGGTTTAATTAGCCAAGTGTTTTTTTTTCGATAAGTTATAAAGGTACATTTGCTTTTTTTATATATGTATTGATTCTCAAAATGAATAATAACTATTAAACATTTTTAGAATCAATCTATATAAAAGAAAAAATATACCTATTTATCTTATAAAAAAAAAACACTGATCAAATAAACCTGGCTGTAGCTAGCTACACACATATACACGCACACATACGCGTGACTTTTTTTAGCTGGCGGATAGATGACGCTGTAATCGTGACCTATTTAAAGTTTGAGTTTGCTATCTATTACCAGTATAATATTGTAATCTTTGCCAAAACTTTTCACCGCCACATTGGAGGATATTTTTATGCTTCTGGACAGGAAACTATACGGCATCAACGTAAATGGCGAGTACCTATTTACCTAACACATCTTTGCTTTGCTAAGTGTTGTCCTCTAGGCGCCACATCAGTGGGTGCGGTAGATGGACGCGGTCTCTCCGCTCGGCGGGCCCCGGCACGATCACGGCAACATGACCGTCGTTGGGACCAACATCGACACCTAACGACTATTTGTGCATTGCACGACTCAACTTGTTTGGGAAGAGACACCTGAGCCTGAACCAGAGATCTCGTTCCACAGGGTATAGGTTGCCAGGCGGATGCCCGTGACGTGTGGTTAGTGGGTATGCCCCTGATATTTGATTAGCCCATTACAGGGTGGGTCCTTGGTCATATAATATAAAAAACAATAGGCTTGTGTCCTACAAGTGAAAATACAGGTTTTTGTTATATCTTCGAAAAATATGAACATATTACGCTTTGAAAACTTGAAAAAAGTAGAGAAAATCTACTACAAAAATTTGCTAAAATACATAAGGCATTAAATTAGATATAAAAAATGTTACAACTTTCATTACAATAGCTATAAACATAAACGCACAAATAACAAAGATATTACAAAAATTATCCAGACGCCCATACATTTTTCGCTAGTGTAGCACCGTGTGACGTCACTGAGTGCCTTGAATTTGTAGGGAGCGTTTTCGGCCAACTAGCAGCAGTTCAACAAACACAGCACCGTATCTCCGAAAGTATGAATCGCAGACATGTTGTTACTTCGACATTATTTCTCAGATGTTAATGGACTATTTATTTATGAAATAAAAAAAAAGTTGTCAACTAGCCTATTGTTTTGAGGCACTTTGTAGTAAATATTTGTTTTAGGGATTTCAAATATTCATATTGTCTATTATTTTATGAAACCTTAAGGTGGGTGCAAATCCGTTTACACCGATGTACGCTTTAGAACGCGACGGATCATTCGTTGCCTGTGCAAGGTTATATGGAGTGTTCGTTTTGACGTTTTTTAGAAAAATGTTCTTTATTCATTTCAGATTATAGTTTTTGAAATGGTTAGGCTTCTCCTTTAAAGTATCTATACTTGTGTCAGGGCCCAACTAGCAAAAATATGTCGTATAGTAGTCGCGGCAACAAAAATTATTCAGCATTTTGGCTCCTAATAGAAGTCATATAAACGTAATGAAAACGTTTATACAACGCGATTTGGGCCCATTTTATTCAGCAATTCAGTCACATAGACATCGTATAAAGGTAATTTATTCAGGTAAATCGTCACGTAATTATCGCCGGAGTGACTGTTACAAGCTTATGTTGCGCTATAACTGTAACTTATATGACTTTTATATGACATGTTTGTCTTATTGAAGCGACCTGGGATACAAAACAGCTGAAAACATTTATAGTAAATAAAATAAGCAAGTGCTTCGACGTGTTGTGTTTTAAAAATTATAATTCATCGGTATTTAGACATATTAATTTGTAGGTTGCACCAAATGTAGGTTCGTAAACTCACGCATAGGGTTGTAAAGTATTGCGAAGGTAAGTTTTCTGAGGAAATATACTAGGTTATATCATAAATATTTAACGCCCCCCTTTAATTCTTAGTAATATGAATATAATAACAAATATTTTTATATCAATATTATTTTTGTACACCATTTTTACTGCTGACAGGCGGTATAATAGCTTCTTATACAGCAAATTAGCAGTATGAGCGCCATGATACCACTCTGATTATAGTTTAGGGTTCCTTAGAACTTCCTAAAAAGTTTTCTAAAAAAGACTTTTTGTTTGTTTTTCCATTTATTCCAGTCCATTTTCGATAACTGTAAACTACTCACAGCATTTTACACAAAACAATCTGATCGGTGTAATGGATACAATTATACGACATTTTAGGCTTGTAATAGTCGTATAAATGCGACGTATACTACATAATAGTAGTATAAAAGCAACAATGTTGCTTTTACTCGACTGAGTCAACCTTGCCATAAGAAAGCTATATAATATGCTTTTACTCGACGAAATAGTAACATAAGCGTCGTATACTAGCGACTTATTCAGCAAAATATTATATGACACTTAAGTCATATAAGGATGCTGACTAAACGTTTACTCAGCATCATTATGTGACCGAAATGCTGAATAACTCAAAAGCTATATAAGATGCTTTTATATGATACGTGCTGAATAATTCACACTTACTCGACTTTTATAACACCGAAAAGCTGAATAAACTTTACCTTATATGACTAATTTGCTAGTTGGGGGGAGACTCCCTCATTTATAGTCTAGTATAACGAAGAGAAGTTCGATGGCGAAGTGATTAGCGCGCTCGGTCTACGATACCGTTGTTAATCAACTTTCGCAATTGCCGGTCATAGGATGGGTGACCAAAAATTATTATATGCTCTTCCGTGCTTCCTAAGGCATGATAAGTTGCACCCGGCTGCATCTGCGGTCGTTAAAACTCACTAATCCGCACTGGCCCAGCGTGGTGGATCAAGGTCCATTCTACCTATTCGATTTCGTCCTTAAGCAAGGATCGAGCCAAGCAGTGGGGACATTAATAGACTGGTGATGATGATAATGTATAATGAAGATCTTAGAATTTAATATTCCGCTACTGACGAGACGCAACTTCGATCAATTCAGACTTCAGACTCTGCATTACTCATACGATTCTGTAAAATCCAAACCAAAATTCAAATGAGGAAGTATTAGTTCCTGAAATAAAAATAAAAAATAGTTCCTGAAATCAAACTACAGTACGTTCACTAACGTTTCGTGGTATAATTGAATTGGGTATCGAAACAACATAAGAAAAGAATATCTGAGACACGTATAATCAAACAATTTTGTTTTGTATTTTTAAACAAAAAATGGAATCAACAGAATATCTTAACTAAATGACGTGGATTCGGACACATGAGTGAATTCGATTTTTTACAGAATCGCCCTGCTGGAAGTGATTTCAATAAAACAACATATTAATAAATATCAATTATTTTATCACAGAGAATCACATTGTGTTATACAACATATTTACGTGGCTAGTACAAAATATTTTTCACAATGATCCATGTTTAATGTATAATTATACAGTAAATACTCACAAATTATCGAAAACTGAAACACCACTACAAAATACTATAGATGCTCGACAAGTAAATACCAGGGGTGGGACCGCCTAACTCAGGGACGTAGCCGTAGTCGTAGCTATAACCTACGCTTTATCGATATTTCTAATGAATCTGTTTATATTCTTTTAAAATTATTATTTTTTTATTTATATATTTTATCAAACATTTTGGTTTGTTATTCTTTTCGAAATAGCATTGTTGGTATCAATTCGACATTTTGTAAATTTCGTTTAACTTTAATAATTCAACAAACAAAAACAACTAAAAGCATTGATTAAATATGTATAAAATAAAAAATGATTAATTTTAAAACAATATCAACAGATTCATGTGTAAAACCTATAAAGCGCAGGTTATAGCTACGACTTCAGCTACGTCCAAGAGTTAAGCAGTCGCACTCCAGGGCCCGATCTAAGGGACATCCGGACAATTGCAGAGTGGCAAAAATTTGGAGACAAAACTAAAGACGCCGGAAATCTTATATAAATTATGATGCCTTAGTAGCCTAGAAAATGTACATATTTTAAATTAGTCAATTAATAGTTAATAGTATAATTCTTGATTGAAAAGCCTCAATAGGCAAATAATGTGAAAATTATAACAATTCCATAAATATCACATATTTTACATGTCATCTATTTTACAAGAATCACAAGCCCATTTACGGTGATGGTTTTAGTGTAAAAAAAGGGTGGTCAACATTATTTCTGTCCGGAGCGGCTGAATACCTAGATCGGGCCTTGTAAAGTGTACAAGTAGAGCCGACACATTATAACTATGCAATTACGTAGTCTAATAGTATAAATGAAATTGCACAAATAGTAACGAAACATAAATCCACTCTCTATCGCTTGTTGTTTAAGATGGAACGTCATGTTTTCTTTAATTTTGATTGTTAGTAGATGGCGCCACTGTCTCAATTTGATGCTATTTGTTTTATTAATGACAAAGTCTATTGACATTTATGCCGATATTTTTCTATCAATTTGGTTTAATTTACATAAAAAAAAATTCTTAATTTTTTTATTCTGCCCCTCGGGATTTTTTTATTTACACAGGACTCGAACCTAGCATTTTATCGTATTACGCGTCTCCTTCCGTGTTGCGAACCTTGACACGTAACTAGCCTTGCTAACACGATATTTAGTCGACATTAAAAAATTTCGTTCTCACAAATGTATTCAGATAACTAAAATAAACACAATATTGGACTGATACGTTATCATCACCCAATTAAAACAATTACACCTTTGTACCGCAGTACTACCGTTGTGACGTACTTACAGTATGACGTATGAAATAGTGACGTTCCATATGAATAGGTAAAAATAAGTATTGCCGTTCTCAATAATCTCAGTTGAAGTAATGAAACAAATAAAATAGGTTAAATTTTTAAGTATTCGGCAAACGTCTAAGTTCTTCAAGATTCGGCAAGAATTTCACGGATGTATGTCATGTCAGTAGTTCGCACGTGACGGAACATCCGTCTAGTGCGCCAGGTTAAATGTTATGACATTCATAGATTTATCAGTTGTGACATTCTGCGACACAATATATGTAAATTTTGGAACAAAATACCTACTTCATATTTTTTTATAAAATTTACTTTTTAATAGCTCTTTATTTTAAAAACAATTCTAATGTAAAAGAAAGCCAAATGTGTAGTGTGCTTAGGATATTATCAAGCCTTTTTCACCCAAACAACGAAAACTTAATTAACTACTTATATCCTGATGACGATTCAGTAACTACATCACATTAAAAATTATTGAGAACAGCTGAAAGTAATACAGTTCAAAATGTAAAAACATAAAGCATATGCTATCTCTTTCTAATAATCAAAAGTGAAAGTGAGCATGAGCTGTAATTACAACATAGGTAAAAAGAAAATTATAAAAAACAATATAATAGTACAAAGTGGCCATAAAATGTAAACAAATCCGATTTATAACGACAAACTACTGCTTATTATAAATTTCTTAATGTAAGTCGACTACATTTTTCATATGATTAATAAGAAAATAACAAGAGGAAAGGGTTTGTACTATAATACATAAATGGGGTAATAAATAAATTCAATATTCGTATAATGAATTAACACGTTATTGTCTATATACACCTATTTTATATGTTGGATTGGATCGAATTATTACGGATTCCTTTCATAATTAAGAAATATGTAATAATTACATTAACATATACACGGTCAATTGCACAAACGTCCATTTAGGTTCACTGATGCCTTTATGCTCTAATGAATGCCAAATTTGTATGGATAATGTAGCTTTAAACTAATGAAATTTTAAATGGAAGTTTGTGCAATTGGCTGTAAGTAAGATACAACTGATGTAGCTCTCTGATGTACCTGCGCAGAAGGAAACGTGGCAAAAGGAATGATGACAGGGTAAAAAAAAATGAAATTATATTTAGTCCGTCAGTCAGATAACAGAAAAATATGACACTTTTTTTTTTACTTCAATTTAACAAGAAATTTCTTAGATAGTAGGCATTAAAATTGAGGAGTTCAGTTTTGTAGAAACTGTAAAAAAGCGTGACGTCAATGGACATTTTACATCGAGTTCAATGAATCTCCGTAATTTAATGATTAGACAAAAAATCACAAATACTTGTTTTATATTACTCAATAATGTATCTGACGCACAAAGAAACAAAAATTGGTCATTATCCCTAATGCCGACCAATCACAATAGGTAGCTCAAATATCACGTGATCGTGCGATCCACAAATATCCATGCGTCTGACCCCCGCTGAGTGTGAGCGAGATGGACACTTGATGAAAAGTATTTTACGGAATTTTTTTATTAATACAGGACTAATTTCAGATTACAATCGTACGTACGATGATTTACGGCGTTGATTGGTCTGTTCTGCGCAAACGAAGCTTCACCGTGAGCCATATTAGTTGAAACTAACTGTACATGTATCGTTTTATACATTATATTGGTGTAAAAAGTCAAAGCTTTTGGTTAACTTTAACTTTGGTCGTGAATACTGACAAAGAAGCAAACAAATCATAAAAAACATGGCGTCAGTCAATGTTATATGAGTTAGATTGGTTTAGAAACATGAGTAGTCTCCGATAAATTAATATAAATATGAACTTTATTGTTATACGATTTTTCAATCGCAAACTCAAACATTTTTGATGGTCCAAAAAGATTAAAAACTGTGTATTGAGATCTAGATAATAATATGAAACAGACAATTATATACTTAAATAAGTACTCGGGTGGAGATTATATATTTTTTTAGGAATATTCAATGTATATTCCATGTAATAGATATAATTCAAATTTCATCCGTATTCTGTTTCATTTGTTACAAACAACTTTTAATTATAGGCGACATCAAGACCGAGTACTATATAAATAAATATAAAAACGGTTTGGACAATAGCAGAAACGCTTAATAATTTTAGAGTGCGGTCAAGGATTATGTACAAAATGGGTACGTTTAAAAATAGATTGTAACGTTGCAATAACAGTGTAATGTATGGAGAATTTAATAATTGGATCAGTGTCAAATGTGCAATAATTTTCGTGTGCAAACCAAAACATACACGTGATCACAATAAGGTACAATCATACGTATTGCTAAATATATATCACCACTAGTTTTGCTGCATAAATGTTACACTTACACAAAGAATACATGTAGTAATCAGGTTAATGCTAAATGTTAATTTTGAACTTTAACTTCGACTAATTAAGGTTCAAAATAAATCGATATATTTGACATGATTGTATAAGCTGACGCAATAAAAAAGGATTGTCTCTGTTCATTTTTAATACTTTTAAAATACTAGTTTTGTTTTTTTAACATTAAAACGCACTTTAACAAATGAACGACTTATAGCCAGTTGCACAAAGGTTCATTTAAATTTTCATTAGTTTAAAGCGACATTACCCATACAAATATGACAATCATTAGAGAATAAAGGCGTCATCAAACCTTAATGGATGTTTGTGCAATTGGCCGTAATTCTATTAAAATATTAATTTTTATTTGGTATCAATGCAATCAAACGTTACTATTCAATTCCTTACTGTTTAATTCACAAAGACACAAATCAAATCATAAATGAATACTTGCTTATAAAGAGTATTTAATAAGAATGCAAATTCTGACAGCAATTTACAGGAACACATTAACAAAGAGTATATGTTTTTTCTTCATAAACAAACAGGTGAATTGAGAATGTTGTTATTAACAAAGCAACAGTTATAATATTCTAATTTATTTTTAATATTCCGCGTAATAATTAAAGTAGGAACATAATTAATTACAATTTTCGGGCAAATATTTCTTTTATGACAGAACCAAGCAGCGACTAGTGGTAATATACCTAAACACATCACTCCGCACAATTATTTATCTGTACAAACTATTCATTAAAAACAATGTACACATAGCAGCACATCGGTTTACTACAAAAAGTCAAATTTCTATAATGAATTTTATTACCGACAGATTAAGACTTAACTTTTATTTGAAAAAACAGGGATTTTGTAGTAACATGCCGTGACGTCGACTTTATATTTATTGTATTTATAATAGAAATACTTTTCTAGTTTAACGCAACTACGGATCCAATAAAACTGACTTTACCCAGTCCTACATTCCCAAAACACCGACATCGTATTCTTGAAATTATATTCTTAGAAATAAAGTCCAAAATCAAGTAAATCGTGGCGATTCTTTTTTGTAGTAGGCCTTCCGATTATATTTGCGTTGCGTCAGTCGACATGCTGAAGTATTCTAACAAGGGGAGTCGATCATATTTTTAATAGCAATACTTGATTTCTTGGCCACGGAATAGCCTATTTTGACTTCGTTATATGAATAATTCCTCTAACAGCCAGTTGCACAGACGTCCATTAACATAATGATTGTTCATTTTATTTATAAGTAACATAAACTTGGTTAAGAATACAGTTAACAAAAAATATTAAGGCTATCATTATTTTCGTCCTCTTTTACAGTGGTTTTAATAAACAAGGTTTAGCGTTGGAGTGAATTCACGCTGAGACTGCACTTAGTATTAGTCAAAATTCATATTATTAAACTTGGCATAGCTTAACCTAGGACAAGATATTTATTCCTAGAAGGTTTATTTATTCTCTGTATAATATAATTTGGACTATAATGCCAAAATTTACTCTCGCCTTGTTTATTAATACCACTGTTAGTCTTATTATGTTACTTTAAATCCACTAGTTTAGGATGAAATTTTTCTCTCACTTAATAAATATAGAGTATTGCATTATCTGCTCCAGTACCTTTGTGTTCGTCGATTTTCTTCATGAGTACACAAATTGGTTTTCTTTGGGCTTCAAAAATCTAGCTGAGTCTAATGCTAAATTAACAATAATTTATTTGCATTGCTTTTAAATAGAAATAAAACAAAAAACCTGATGCATTTATGGAAATAATTAATAACTAAAGATAATAATGCTCTGTGTAAGATTAATATGAAAACAAAGAGGCAAAACAGGTTATATCACTTAAGATTTCAACAATACATTTTAAACCTAACTTTATAAACACTAAAGTTTCAAATGAATGACGATTTTGATTAAACTATTGTTCTATTGGATATTATTTTTAAAAATATTTATCTTCGTTAAAATCCATGTAAAATCACTTATTCATGTAGTTATTGTGCACCGTCGAACTTTACGGTGTTGCACTTTAAATAGTCCTTGTCAATAAAGTTTTGTTTCGTCTTTCTAATTACACGTGATATCGACATGGTTAAAAAAAATATCTAGATCTCTTAGATATTGAGATTTAATGTTTGTTTTTTTTTGTAGCTATAAAAATACAAACATGGCACAATCAACGGTTTAAAACAATCCTTTGAGATAGATAAATACGAGACCGGGGCATGCACGACAGTGATCTTTAAACAGCGTTAAATAGTCCACTTCCCGATCTGTCAAATCTGATCGTTGACAAACTAACGAGTATCGATAACTTGACAGTTGAACTTGGTACGGGCATTTATTTACTTTAAGATACATACTTGCAATAATAATCATAATACAATCACTAGTTAGCTACCTAATAAGGTTTAAATTGTGTTCGCAATGTCCATACTTCACTCTCAGTAACTTTACTGCGGAATATCTTAAGAGTTCTAATCGAATTCGTATCGAGCGCTCATTAAGATTTTCTGTAAACCTCAACAGATGGCGCTATGCGACTATTATACAAGAAAAAGGTTAAAACATTGCACATATTTTAAAATCCCGTTTATTTACATATAACGCGCTATTTACGATGACCCTGCTGTATCCAGACACAGCAGGTCAACGACCTATTTTTATAGTTCTACCTGCAGTTTGTTTCCTACATATTAAAGAGAAAAAATTATATACTGTTTAAAAGTTACAAATTGGATTCGCATTCGATACAATTTCGTGCTAAGGTCACTCATATGGCGACTGCAGAATGTTCCTGCAGATATATTCTATCGTTAAACAAACAAGACGCGATGCGTTACTGTAGTAACAAAGAAAACGTTAATAAATAATTATCATCCGTTTTATGATAATTCAAAGCCAGTGTTACTGTTGACAGCGTACCGCAGTTTATCACGGAGCGTGCTACGCTTCTGGTAGTTGGGCAGCTTCAGGAGATTGAAGCATGTGGAGGAAGTGGGCAGTCGATTCAGGGGATCCTTCTTTCTTATCGTGAAGAATCCACGGATCACGCTACCTGTGCGATTAGTAAATAATATTTGTCATAAAGCAGGCGAAAACAAACAATGACATGCAATAGGTGAGCGTTGTGGGCAATAATATGTGAGGTGTAGAAGTTCAATGCGGAAGTATTTAAAAATAAAACATTAGTTCCCGAAATCAATCTAGATGTCGCAATGGTAATTTCTTGATTTCTCCATGTCAACCCTTCCGGTTTTCTTTCATGTATACAAGTAGATTAATTTTCAAAACTTAATAAACAACTCGTATTCTATTTGTACTTTTTCGTATTTGTATTGATATCTAAGTTTCGTACTTTATATATTTCACTTTTTTAATATGTTAGTTGAAAGGAACGGAAATGACTATCTTTGGTTAATTCGTTTCCTTTAAAAAACAACTTTTGGTAGAGTCGCCACCTAGTGTGATGCCTAGTGAAGTGCTTCTTTTTTTTCTTAAAATACTTCCTCATTATTTCCTGCTTTCTATTCGATTTAGTCGAATACAATCGAATAGTAGTGTATCGAGTGGATTCGATTCTAAACCAGTTGTAAGTAGAAAATAAATAAGGAAAGTGTGCCAAGTCAATTTGATCACTGCGGAGGTACTTAGATCAATAAACAACTTTGGATGCCTAAACTGGTGCTTCGATAATTATGACAACCACAATCAATTATTATAAAAATGGCTGTACATCATACGTTTCGCCTTTGTATCTTTCCGCGTAGTATAAGATGAAATCTAAGCAAGGTAAAGATAAGCACCGCTTCTCGTGATCGTTGTTGTTAAGCAACTTTCGCTAGGGTCTGTCATGAGATGGGTGACCAAAAATTATTATGTCGACCTACTCCGTGCTTCGGAAGGCACGTTAAGCCGTTGGTCCCGGCTGAATTTGCAGTCGATAATATCCTCCAATCCGTATTGGGCCAATGTGGAGTATAAGGCCTGAACCCCTGCAGTGGAGACGTAAAAGGGCTAATGATGATGAGATAAAATCGAAATACAATAAATAGTCATACCTATAGTGTCGCCTGTGTCTTCATCATCACCAACTTCGACGCATCTTATCGAAAACGGTGGTTTGAGATGAGCGAAACCAAGCACAGGGGGCTTCGAACACGACGTTACGAACTAAACAATAAAATTTGCATATATTAACCAAAAATTTAACAATCATACTACGTACAGTCAACTAACAGCACGTGAATTTATGTGAATCCGCCAAATTTCTCGATTTGATTATAAACCTTAATATGTTGAAGGTAGAATTTAGAATGAACTTTACATATTATGGTCATCAAAACATATTAAAAGTAAAAAAAAATAATAATACCAAAAGTGTTTACGAATTCCTCTGTTTATTCCCGTAAGAGAAATTGGGCCTGAATTTAATAAATATCGATCGAACATGGTGCAAAAAAGAAAGGAAATTTTTATCTAGAACCGAACAAAAAATAACAAAAACATTATAAACGTCAATTGTTATATGTCAAAGTATATATCAATCGAAATAATATCATCTTTTAAAATTCATGCAAAGAACATACTTGATGAGTAAAGGCTATTATAAAGTTGATAATTATTTTAAGAGCCGCAATGCATGGAATTAATAAGTCTTCGCTTTGTTCTATAATGACTAATGATATGTACCAACCTACCTACAGACTTTGAAGATTATATTTATTATTTTTATAATACGCATATTATGGAAATGACACGATTTTTATAATGTCATTACTTATGATAAAGAACTGGTAAGTTTCTTTCGCTTGTTCTTCTCGTCAGCTAAAAAAACGAATTAATGAGGGGAAATTTTTTTACGACGATTCAAAAGTGCTTGAAACAAGCTTATTTGAATAAATATATTTTCATTTCATGATGTATATCCGTTGATATTTATCAGCGAAACCTGGTATCGGTAAAGATAAAATAATATAGAACCTTCAGGAACATCCCGCGCTCGTTCTCAGTGAAGTCTCGCTGCAGGACGTCCCACAGCCAGCACACGACGCGGTGTGAGTCGTGGAACCCGCCGTAGTACTGCGTGTGGCGACGCAAATCTCGCAAGTCCAGCGGCACGTTGTCGCCACTTATCAGTCTTTGTAGCTGTACATAATTTACAAATTAATAACTATAATGCCCGTTTTCATTCAACTTGGGAGTCGTCGAGATATAAAATGAAATAATTTTATTTGTCTTAATCTTCTCAGAGAACCTTCTCATTTGATATCCATAATATGAGAGGGCTTAAAAGTTCTAGTCTTAAAGAACAAGTCCGCCGCATTGGGTCCATCATATTCGATTATTGGATTTGAAATGTCGACTGGGTAATAGAAAATAAAAAAATACGTACTTTTTCGCTTCAATATAACAAGAAATGGCTTAGGTAATAGGCATTATCGTTAAAGATTTGGGGCTCTCTACGTCACGACTTAGAAGAAAATGTACAAAAGCGTTATGTCATGCTACATTTCAACTCAATGTAACGCGGTAATTCATTGTTTACGCAAAAAATGAAAAAATGTGTATTTAATACTCTTCAATGATCTATAATCTACCTGAGGGAAAAACAATTAAAAATTTGTCATTACCCCTATTAATTATTTACTCAGTATGGAAAAAATATCCTGTTTGGTATTGTGCTATAGTCGTAGAAGAAACTAAACAATGAAAAATTAAATGTAATAAACATAAAGTAATCCAAAAGCAATAATTATGGATTACTCTCACCTCTGGCGTTGAAAATAGCGACAGCCACTCCGGATTTATAATAGTACGAAATCCTTTGATGAAAGCATTCGTTTGGTCCTTTATTTGCGTGTGCATTCTAAAGTGTGCCATTAAATGTATGTAATTGATTCTGTAACAAAAATTAATAATTTAATTAACATGCCAGTATATATTTGGAACACGAGATTTTTATTACTGGTTTGCTGCTGTTCTTGCACATAAAGAAATAAAATTAATCATGAGCGATTTAACGACGAAATATTAAAAAACAAAAAACCCACCAGCGTGAAAAATAACTAACTTAAGGCTGGACCAAGATTACATTTTTTATGCATTACATAACATGCAGTCGGAAGTATAAAATTGAATAATATGTCAAATCATTCTCTCTTTGTGCACGCCTCTGATTTCATGTTATGTATGATGTAAAAATTGCTACCCTTCCTTTGAAGACGGGTAAAAGTTTGAAAATCTCTGACACTCACTTGTTTTCGTTAGTGACAGGAATAGCTTTCCCGCCTGGCACCAATTCGTGTGTCACAATTTCTCCTAATCTCTCTTCGTCTACTGAAAACGTTAGCTCCAACGATGAAATATCACCCTGTAACCATTATATTACTTATTGTTATTATTTTGGCGAGTAATATTTCGTACGATCAACAGTAAGTCATTTTATAAAAAAACAACTGATTTTGTTTTTATAAAGCAGTTTTACTAAACTTCGTGTCGGGTCTCAAAATCTGGTTGCAAACGGCATTGGGATGGGTCAAGAAATTTTATAAAACTCTGTGAAATTTCAATTGGTCTTTCTTCTTATAAATACTGATGTTTCAATTAAAAATAGTAAGGGTCCCGATCTTCAAATTAATTTATAGTTTGGGTAAAGAGCTATAAATAAATTTGGTGGTGTCAAAAAAGGTAAAGAACCATCATCTTCAAGTATTAATTTATAGCCTGAAATATTTTTTATCATATTGATATTTCATTTGGCTAACGAAATTTGAACGAAGTTTCTAACAATAAATATATATATATGTGTTTACTAAAAAAGTTATAGTAACAATTAAATATATAAATAGTAAACTATTAAATATATAAATGGTAAAAGTTAGTTATTAGCTCATGTAGTAAGTTATTTACGAGATTTCTGTCATGTACATTCTGTAAATCTGTAATCTTTTTCACTAGATTTTAAATCTCAATACTTTAAGAGTAAAGTTTAAAACCGACTGGAAAAATTCCGTGTGTACTTTATAATTATGACTTATAATTATAAGATATTTCGGTATTGCAAGCGCCATGATCGCAGAACACCGAAATATCGGGGACTCTGGTAGAAATAAGTGAATATAATTACTCTAATGTTAATTAATGACTACAAAAATAGATTTTAGACAACATCACATATATCGCTTAAATTCAGACGAGTAGCTAAAGCACCCGTTTATGGAGTATCTGGGACAACGAAGGTACCATGAGACCTAGACCCGAGACAATATAGAAAATCCCTTTTTCCACATCGACTTGACCGGGAATCGAACCCGGGACCTCAGAGATGCGTGCGAACCACTCGGTTACGGAGATATAAAACAATATATTACCTGAAAGTGTTTGATGTACGTAAGACTGCGGTACAAATCTCTGTCTAGTGATGGCAACTCGTCTATCCAACTGTACAGCGCCTGCTGCGTCTGACCGAGCACTTGACTGAGAAAGAATGACGCGAACGGAACGTCTACCACGATGCCCTGAACCGAAATGAAAATAGTAAAAAAAAAAAAAAATACTCAACGTAAGGGGCCGTTCATTAATTATGTGAGGCTCGAAAGGGGAGGAGGGGGTTCTTAAAAATTACAAAATATCACAAGGGGGAAGGGGGATATATTAATATATCACGTGATTAATGGACGGCCCCTAAGTAATTTCAAACTGTATGAAGATAATATCAATTATCTGTTGTATGTTGCTAAAATTTGGATTTAGGAACAAGATCAATTCTAGACCTGGTTCTGAGGATTAGGTTAATACAATGGAATATATAAAGAGATACATTCGATATATCAATACCTACTATCTAAAAACCGATATTTATTATCGATAAATTGTAGTTTTACTTTTATTTGTGGTTGCTTATTTATATATAACATTAAACGGAGACTGAGTTTGTCTACAATTGTTTATCAGTTTCCATATCCAAAAGGTAAAACGGAGACCATATTACTAAGACTTCGCTCTCTGTCTGTCTGTCACCAGGCTTTATCTCATGAACCGTGAAAGTTAGACAGTTGAAATTGTCATAGATTGTTGCCGCTTCAACAAAATATACTAAAAACCAGAATTAAATAAATACTTAAGGGAGCTCCCATACAACAAACGTCATATTTTTGTATATAAGCCTTCGTGTGCGAATCAGACGCGTACTTAGCCGGTTTGTTACTATACTTATTATTTAAGCTAATTATATGAATGTAAGTTGAAGTGTTAAAATGTTGGCAGACTTTGAAAAATAAAATAATATCATATCGATTACCCAAAACCCTTTGCTCATAATTAAATACAAACGATACAAAATCAGTTCCGCACGCGTCCTCATTTTAACGAATTCAATGATTCGTATTGTAAAACAGATAAAGGGAATATCATATCCACGGTACGGCGCTAGGGCACTCGAATCTTGCAAAATGGCTGTTAGTAACACAGCAATAAGGACTATTTTGCGGTAGTCAAGATACATTTGAAATATCGAACATGATTTAACGGTTAATTAATAGCCAGTAGGCCGTCCTTATCCATAAGGACGGCCTGAGCATGATCCATCTTCTTTAAGTTAAGGAAGATGGGGACATGACCCTCCACACTGGCCCAATGCTGATTGGAGGGTATTAAACAAAAGCAGTCGGCACCAACGCCTTAACGTGTCAAGGTAACTTTTTTTGGTCATCCATCCCCTGACCGACCCTTGCGAAAGTTGCTTAATAAAAATGATCGCGAGCCGCGACGTTAAACCACTACGCCACCGAGCTACTCTAAAATCTTTAAACAAATATGTATAATCTTCATGTATGATATCAAACCTCGTATACGGCCTTGCCGAGCATTCGACCGATGAACTCGAACAGCTGAAGGTGGTTCTCCTGGAGACAGGAGGTCGGTGACGGGTACAGACGTTCCTCGCTCGTTACACGGAACAGGTTCAACGACGGATCGAATACACGCTTTATGGTCTCTTCTAGGAATTCTGAAAGGAATCGCTAAATTTAAAACCCTTAACCAATGTAATCAAAATTTTAAGTTATCTAGTGCAACACAGTTTGGAACTCTGTCACTCAACTAAACTCCAATCATACGTTGATTTATTTAGTTATTTACAACATGCTGACTTACAGACTAATACATCCAAAACACCAGCAAGTTAAATATAGTAATAAAAAAGGTCAAAGTCAGTATAATTAATTTTAAATTAGAATTTAAATAATAACAAAATTATGGAATAGAACGCATGTCATGAAAATAATAAACTAAAATAAATGTCATATAAATCAAAATAATTGGTCAAGAAAATCATAATGATAACAGTCACAGATAATCAATTACACAGTCAATACTGGTTAAGAAATGTCGAGCAATTACAGCTAATCGAGTAACACCATCAAAAGATACATCATTTTTTCATGTTGAGCAAAGATGTCACCAGTGCCTGCGCAGCGTATACTGTACGCGTGCGGGGCGCCATTAAACCCATGTCGTTATTAGAGATGCGCACAGGCACAGAAAAAACTGAACCTCTCTATTATTTGAGGACAGTCAACTTTCTGGTAAAGCACAGGAAGGTAATGCAGAACCAGGAGTAATTATCGCCGTAGCGCAAGGGTGTCAATGCCCACCACACCCGATACAAATAGTCAAAGTTTACACCAAGCGAACGAGCATTTTTAGAATGTTCCATGGAATGTTTGCGAACGCAGATAGAACAGCGAACGAATGCTCTAAGACTGTTTACATTAAAAGAACTTAATAGTGGGGATAGCATGAGCATTCGCTCGTTTAGTTTGAATCGGCCAAATTACTACAATATTATATCGTACTTGTTCCGAAATCTTTTTTTATGTATATATTCATATTTTATCTATATTTACATATATATAGTATTATGGCCTTTACCAATTTGTTTGTTGTAATAATTTTTTGGCCAATGTTTTTCTTTTTGTTTTTTATTCTTATCGCCTAACATCCTGACTCCAACATTTTTTACTGGTAGACTCGCTGAGAATGCCTTTGGCATTAAGTCCGCCTTTTGTATTAAAATGCAATAAAGAATAAATAAATAACATGAAAGTAAAAATGTAAAATACTGATTTCTTAAACGGTCACTACGCATTTAATAAAACTACTTTAAAGGGTATCAGCGCGTTTATTTACAGGTACCGTGTTCACTTAACACAGTCTTAAGTGAACACTGAACCTGTAAATGTTCCGAAACGTCATAAAATCAAATGTAAACGCGATGAGGCCCGTTTGAAGTAGTTTTATTCATTTTATAGGTATGCCAGTAACAACTGATTTTATTTTATACCTTTAAACACTCCGTCCTGGTCGATGCCGGCTTCGTCTAGCCCCTGCTCATTGATGAAGCGTACGCGCACGCATCCTTTGAGTGCGCGACTAGGTAGAGCCGCTAGTTGCCTGTACCCGTCCTCTACAAGTCGCGCGCGTCTCACTGTTACTAGAGTCGAGCGACCGCCGCACGCGCGCTCAGTTAGACCTAACACCACCTGAACGTGCACGCGATTATGAGCCTTATGAATAATATGCACATTTTTTTGATGATGATAATTCTAACATCGTTATACAACTGTTAAAATATACCCGGCATCGAAAACCTAAAATTAGTAACATATAAGTAACAACTACGCGAAGTTTAAACGCCGGATTTTTTGGGGCGCTTATCGTGACGTCAGAGTGCACGACTAGAGATATGACATTTTAAATCAAAATGGATTTTGCGTGATTGATTATTATTCAATTACCAAAACCGATTCAAAATAATCGTTTTTTTTTTAAGTATAACTTTTTTAATAATCATTTAGTTTAGCAAATTAGTGTAACAAAGATAAAAGCCTTAAATATCACTTAAATTGTAATCTGTTGTTTATTGTGCGACATAACATATTGATGTTGTTATTGCATCGACGCTTTTGTAACTTTTGTAACAACGACATTTTCGTCACATCTGGCAAGTAGTATGGCGTTTGAATAGATTGATGTTACCGTATTTTTGTTTTGCACTTTTTAATAATTATTTTCAATACGAAAACGAACTAATATTGAAAAATATTTACATAGACTTTATTTTGAAGCAATAAAAATCGTAATAAAATATATTGAACCTTTTTTTAAATCAGACGCATTTCCCTATTGGAGCTGATAGCTAGTGGGAATGAGGACTGTTAATAGAAGCAATGAATATGTGATATATCACCACCCTTTTATATCCCCATTGCAAGGGCTCAGGTCTTCCTTATGGATTGGTCCGGATGTCCTGGACATTCCTTGCCAGATACCAGTGAGCGGACCACGCAAGAGGGTTTTTAGGTTAAGCCAACTGCACTAGACCGCTGTTCCTTGTTGTGAAATGTTAAGATCAGTTCCCTTTGGTTAAAGAGGCCTTCTTTATGGATGGTGACGTGCTATTAAGACCCTTTATGCTCCCTCAATGCTTACTGGACGAAATTAACAACTGCAAATACAGTCGGGACTAACGGCTTAACGTGTATTCTAAAGCACGGAGTAGCTCGAGATAGTAATTTTATGGTCACCCTTTCCGTGACCGACCTTTGAGAAAGAAAGAAACAAAGGAGCAAGAAAGACAATAACAAAGAACAAATTGTAAAGTTGTATTATCTATCCAAAAAATAAAGATATATTCACTACTTTTGAATAGAGTGATTTGGCATTTGAATTACGCAAAGTTCTCTGTTGCCTTGGCGATAATGATATTATAGAGCCACAATTGTTAGTTTGGAAGTTCTCATTTTCTTTAATGTTGATGACAATTATTAAAAATAAGTAAAATCTTAAATAAAGTAAGATAGTGATTTGTGTATTAAATTTACTTTATTCTACACATTACAATGAATACAACACGAGAATTGGAATTTCCAGCGCGCTGTATCCAAATCCAGCTCGATCTCGAGCTGCAGATTTGAGATTATCACATTTATTAAAACAACAATATTGAAAAAGCAACAGATGTTTTTATTCAATTAATAATCTATCATTATTTATTATCTATCACTATCATTAATAAAACTGAATTAACATGTAAGAAATATTTTAATGTCAGTAATAAGTACTTACTTTCTCATCGGCTACAGCTCGCCTAAAAAGTCTCACACGTTCGCCGTGAGCTATCATGTGAGGCGTCTTCTGTACCAGTACCTAAAATCAACATGTTATTTTTAAAAAAATATCAAAATGTTATTTTTAAAGCAATAAAATTAGTTAATGTCGTTTAAATGTCTTTATATTAATTTCCTACTATATATGAATTACTTATAAGTTAATTTCTTTTAGAGTCTAATAATAGGCGCTTTTATAATTATGTATATATTATATTCTTTTAAGTATATAACTGATTCAAAAACTTGTTCTAAACTTGTACAACATACATTGCAAGTTTCATTGTTTTCATTTAACATATACCCAGTGGCGTAACGTGCCTTGGAGTGACCCTGTATAAAAATTTGTCGATGGGCCCAGAGGGTAAAAGATTTTGCTTACACACGATAAGGGGCCCCTGTAGCCAGTGGGCCTCGTAACATTGATACGGCGGTAGCTATAATCCCCGCGGATTGCTTAACTAAATACTTGTTGACGGTTTACTTATTGAGTTAGGTTGTGTTAGGCGCACACAATTTTTTGTTATGTTTTTGTTGAACCTAATTTCACTAATAATAAATATTTCCAATGTCTCGGATTTCATTATTGCTTTAGGGTACTATGTTTTAAAAAAAATTTACAATGTAAAAGTTAATTATTTCATATATTTTTTTATATGTCATACACCTCAATATTAATATATAAATTGACCTTTACCAAAAAATAGTGGAATACATTAACAAACTAATATTTTTTTAAATATTACGACAATATGTTGAGGATTATTCATAAATATTTCAATAATGAATAAAAAATTTAACTCTTGCATTTTGTGTTATCTATACTTTCTATTTTCAAATGACGTCACGCGGGCCTTATTTAATCAATTTCCAGCGCATTAGTAATTTCCGGGACTTTTATTCCCCTGTATATACCTGTTGTGGTTTTTTGCCCTTCTCCAAATCGGCCATGAACTGCGAGTCGCGTATCTCCCTCACCAGCCAATGGTTAGGCGGAGTGTACACACGCCTACAGTCGCGACGATACAATACTAGCAGCAGCGTGTGCATACAGCTGAACAACTCGTTACTTTGAATCGTCTTTAAATCTAGGATAGAGCGATTATTTTTTATTGTACACACAAAACAAAAAAAAAAAACAATAGTTTAGTTTCTAAGTTTTTAAACAAAGGGTAAAACGGGAACCCTTTACTGAGACTTCGCTGCCTATATACCAATCTGTCACCAGGCTTATCTCGCAACAGCAAAAGGTCTGACAGTTGTAATTTTCACACATGATATATTTATGTCGTCGCTTCAACAACAAACATCAAAAACCAGAATAAAATCAATATTTAAGGAGGCTCCCATACAATAAACGTATTTTTTTTGCTTGTTTCCGGTACGAAACCCTTCGTGCGCTAGTCTGACTCACACTTGGGCAGTTTTTTTTTAAATCTGAATGAAAAAAAAGCAAATGAAATATTATTTTATTTTATAAGTGAATATTCCATTAATATCTGAGAAATAATGCAGAAGTAATAGCATAGACTGAAAACGCATACAAATTTAAGCCACGAAGTGACGTCACACCGATAGTAAGGTAGCGTAAAACGTGTGTGAGTCCGGCCAATCTTTGTAATACCTTTGTTATGCCGTTAATTTATTAAATTAACGGCATAACAAAGCGTTGATTTTTTTTTTAGAAAATGGTAGAACTTTTCACCGAGGTTGCCAATCGTACTATAATATGTATATAATATTGTACTATATAAAATATTATAAAGAGGAATGATTTGATCTTTTTTGCATCGAATAGGCACCGAAACTACAGATTTTAAAAATTCTTTCACTTACGGGTAGCCACATCATCGGGGTTGACTGACTATAGTATACGCGTGAGAAGTATTATATACAGAAGCTAGTATTATATATTGTTAGAGAAATATATAGTATGCGTAAATACTATTAATTCAACACCAAAATCTAACAAATAAATCCTTCTTTTATGATATAAATCAACTTTTAATTAGTGCGATAGCTTATAAAATAAATTAACTTTCAATTAGTGGGATAGCTTATAAGAAATTAACTTACCAAATAGTTGTCCCATTATAGATTTGTAGACGAACATGTTGAGAAAATGGGACATGTTCACAAAATCTTGTAGCTTAAACGGGTCCTGTTGCTCATACATTTCCATGTCGTCCAGTATGCTACAATGGAACTACACTTTACTTCCGAAATTAGACTATTAATTATATACCCAAGATTTTTATCATCAATGTAGTCTTTATAATAAAGTTTGAAGCTATGGTTTAAACATATATATTTAACTTTTATAGTTACAATAATATGTAAACGTTTTTAGGATACCATTCATAACATTTTAATTTTAATTTATTCTACGCTCAGAGTGCTTTTTTTTAAAGAAATGTCAGAAAAAAATTAAATATGCTTAAAAAGCTTACGCCCGGTTTTTGAATTAAGAATTTAAAGTTAAGCATGTCTTAAACCATACTAAAGCAATTTCAAACTTGCATATAATAAGCAACAACTGTGTAATACTAAATCAACATCCTAAAGGTGTTTACACAATGGCTTATGCTTAATTTTTTTTTGTAATATGAGCGAACAGAAAGGCGAAGTATACATATTGCAATCAGGATGGTTAATCAGCTGGGACATTTAGTTCTACCAAAACTTCTTTAATGGCCGGTTCTACAAGAATTTCTAAACTGGTTCCTTCTTTCGTAAACGCCACTGAGGCGAACATTATCTTATAATAAATTATAGATTTATACTCACGTGACGTAATGCGTCATACAATCAGCGAATAGTACTAGCATTTGGAACTCCGGTGCCGACGCCTTAGTATTTGCGGCTAGTAGATCCAAAAACGCCTTTAGGCCACAATTTGGCCCCAAAGTGCACAAGAATTGCCATAAAGAGTACAGAATCTCGTCTTGGTTGCATAAACCTGTAATTACCATTTTATTTATTATCAATATTTAACTTTATTAAAGTAATTACCATTACTTTATTTGGTGTTACAAATATCAATAATTATATTTACATCAATTAATAATCTTGACACTACAAACACATAATTACAGTAAAAAACAACTTGAAACACTTATGCCCATTTTCATTTAACTTTGACCATATCCGTCACCTATATATTTAGGAATAGCCTAAGGTGAAATTGCACTTTACCAATGACTAGGAATCACCTAACGACATTAAGAAATATTTAATGTTATGGCATGCGTTATGCGGCGCCTTGCGCATTTACATAATATCACAAATTACAAATGTGTCAATGGATGAAAGAATAAATGTCAATTTGAAATTAAACTAATCTGCTTAGGCGATTCGTAAAATAAGGCGTTTATTACTAGTTAAGCTACGCCTTATTCTAGGTTAGTGAAAACGGTCATTAGGCTCACTCGCGAGTTTGTGTGTCCCTATTGCGGTTGTATTTGTCACAGCTAATGAATGAGATGGAATTATTTGGTACAAATTAAGTATGTCCGTCGCCCAAAGATCGTTAATAAATGAATATTGGGCTTGAGTTTGGGGTCAGCACATTTCAGTAAATTAAAAAATAAAAAGAAAATCAATGGACTTATTTATTAGAACTTTTGTTTATATCTTGGCGTAATTTATTTTTTTCACTTATGAGATATGTGATAGTATCTCATATTTTTACTTATCAAAGTATATTAAGCAAATATAATCTATATGTATATTACAAAAAGGAAATATTTTATTGTTTGATGTTTTCATCAAATAAGCTGCAAAACTACTGGACCGATTTTAAGAATATGCAGTGAATATGCGGTGTAGGCTATATTTTACCCCGAAAACAGCAAATAAAGGAATGAAAATGGGAGTGGAAGTTTGTATAGGGAATTAAATGGTTACCACAGTAACCAATGTTTCCTATTCAATCTGTCATTGTAATTATATGCATGTCGCGAAGCCGCTGGTGGAAACCTAGTAATATTATAAAGAGCTAACATTCCTAACTTTGTTTGTTAGTCGGAGGTAATCTTCGGAAATACTGATCCGATTATAAAATTTCTTTCACCTACGGAACGCTATGTGATACGCGGGTGGCAGACTACAATATTCTCGGGCGAAGTCGCGGGAAAACCGCTAGTACAAGAGTGAAAACAAATCTGTACCTGTCAGTATATCTAGTCTGACTTGTTTCATGGTCTGCAGTGCCGTGTGATACATTGTGCATATTAATGCTGCTTTTGTGCAGTCCGGAGAGCCGAGTTTCCTATAGTTCTTGTTAGAGTTGCCTCTGGAACAATATAATTATATATTTAGGGGCCGTCCATAAATTACGTCATATAAAATTCATGATTTTTAACCCCTCCCCCCTCCTAACGTGTGACGTAACTTATGGATGGCCCCTTAGTATATAGGTTTTATTTTCTATTAAACGTTTAAATAACCATTTAAAATATTCTCTAAAATAATTATCTTTAATAATTATCTTAACAGCAATGTTAACTTTATTTTTAATAGAAGAAGAATTAAAATCAGATTAACTGTATTTATTAATACACACGTCAAGTTATTACAAGAGGTCTCTGTAATGAATTTAGAACTCTTATTTTAATAAATATTTAGCGACATCCATACGTTTCTCAGATTTAAATTCAGTTGTAACTGTAGTAAGAAAATCTGAAATAACGCAGGTTACAACAACCAGAACTTCAAATTTCGATTAAATAATATTAAGGTTTAAAACATATTGGCATGTTCGGATTGCTATGAAGAGGCTAAGCAGCTTTCGTAAAAGTCTCATATAGGATGGGTGGACAGTTTACTATCTCGGGTTGTTCTGTGCTTCGGAAGGTACGTTTAACCATTAGTATCTAGCCGTTAAAACCAACCAACCAACCAACTGGGCTCACGTGGGCTATGACTCCCTAATTGTTTCCATCCATAGGGATGGGCTTGTGTCCCTGTAGTGGGCACATCAATAGACTGATAATGAAAAATTGGAGAAATCTTATTTGAAATTGTTTGGAATCAAACAATTTTATTTTGTATTTTTATATAATAAACTGGAATAGAATTCTTCCCTAAATGACGTGTAGTCGGTTATATAACTCGTCCGAATAAACATGACATCTGAGGGCTTATTATATTTGTCCTCGCACGAAAATACGGAAAATTTCCAAAGGTTCTTACAATTCTGTTGAAATTATATCCCTGAAGATTATGTGTACATCAAACTCAATGTCAGCTCCTACCTCTATCGCATCATAAATTATCACGAAATTCGTTTTTTGGATTCATATCTCAAAAATCTGAAAATTCTGTTTTCGGAAAAATAGGTATTAATTCGTACGAGTAATTCATGTTTTAATGTTGACCATTACCTGTTAGTTCTAGCTTCTATAGCTCGTCGTATGAACGCCGCGGGATTGTTACTTTGTACTGGTGTGGATGGTTGAGATGGACCAGCCCCCTCTTCACCTGTCACGCCCGCATCCAACATTTCCTATATAAGCAATCAGTTTTAAACAAGGGTCCTATATGTATGTGTGAGTGCCAAAAAGAAACCAAATCAACAGTACCTTAAGTGGCGCCGCCAGTAATTTGTGTAGTAATGGTGCAGCCCACAATAAAGAAAGTTGAGTGCGCAGATTAGTCATGGCCGGTGGTAGATAAGCGTCCAGACCCTGAGAGAACCATCCCAGTACCGGATGCCAGTTGCTTAGATTACCCTTCTTGCAGACCACATACTGTTGACACGAGTCCAGGAAACGAGTCACCACCAACTGGATATGCAACAATATTCAATGTTATATTTACAGAATTTACTTTTAAACGAATGTGTATTTATGTGTCGTTTTTGTTTCAGTAAAGGGATAAAAACGAATAATAAAGTCCACAATGGATTTGTATTCTTTAATCTATAGTTTATTTACTAGTTATACCTAAATAACATAATGTTAATATATAGATATCAAACCACCAATATTATGTTAAAAATATTTTACCTAGTACAGTATTGCTTTATAATATCTATGGTTCTACTAATGACATTAAACCGAAAGGAGGTTATTATGGTTGGCAGTATAAGGTTAGACAACTCCTGAGGGTACTAGTGAAGGGGGCGAAATACGTGTAGAGCGGTGATTCTATATTATGTGCATGTGGAGCTTGCATACACTAAATGTGTTTGGGTTTGGAAGAAGCTAAATATTTTAGTTACACAGTTATAGAGGTGGAATTCCGCAAGATCACGCCTGATTCTATTCAATAGTTTTTGTATACTAAAAGGGTATCATATATTTCATTAAATATTACGTAAACATTATTTTACATTACAAAGTACTCACCACAAAAGTAGGATAGTATGTATCCGGAGCAGCATGATCGCGCTCCGAGTGTGCCAGTTGTACCAGATTGCCGAGCAGACAGAGCGCGTAGTTGCCCTCCAGGGTATTAAATACGATGCGCATATTCTGGTCCGTGCTCAGAAACTCAACGCACTTATCAAACATACCATTCGTGCGGAATGTTACTATTGACTGTGGGGCAATGGAAAAAGTATACATTTTAATTAAATAATTTGTATAACTATCTCTATCTTCGCGCCGAATCCTTTGTAGGGTAGACAGAGACGACTAAGCGTCACCAATCATATTTTTTTCACACAAATCTTTCTCTTAACATTCATTACTCTTCTATATATATTGTTCATCAAAATAATTTGTTGTTCTTAACTTTATTTTATGATTATGACGAAAATACTGTTTTACTCTTAATATTGTGTAATATTGTAATGGAAAGTGACTTCAAATTTTAATGAAGTCATTTTTCAATCTTGACGCTCTGTATGAAATAAAACAGGGAGAAAAAAGCAGCCCTTGCCGAGTTTCTTGCCGGTTCTTCTCGGTACAAGGTCTCCCGCCGTAGATTTACGAACCGTTGGCGTAGCTCTCGACTTTCACAAGTGCTTGTAACAGCCTAGACTGAATAAATGATTTTGATTTTGATTTTTGATTTTTAATTACATTGCAAATCCTTAATAAAGATGCTGCTCTTGAACGAAATGTTTAGAAAAAATTACACATAACAATTGGGCCTCCATTTTGTATTTTACAATTGTGCAAGCCCTAGTCAGTTCAGTACATTAAATTGATTTTCCTGATAAGAAAGGGGAAAAATGTTTGAAAAACTTGATATAATATTTACTATAAGACTTGCTGTACATGTACAATGTACAACACCAATGCAATACTAACTTGCACATAAGATATACTGAGATATGAGTAAGCATGTTATGGGAGTGCCATTGCACAAAAAAATTGAGACTAAAAATGACATCAAGTGCTTGTCACACTGGTCACACAAGCACTGTAAGCGTCCCTTTGATACTTACGTCTTGACTTATGTCAGATTCTACTGATAATATTTAACAGGGACAGAAAAATTTAATTATTTAACTAATTGAAAACAAAAATTTGATTATTCAGAAAACTACAAATTATTATGATCCACTAAGTAACTATTATCAATTGAACTTACAATGTAAACTGATAACATTGAAATATTCCTGCACTAATGGTGAATGTCACCACATTTGACCTCACTATACCATTGATAAGTCCTTTTTCAATATGTGCTTAATTATATATACATACTATAGTTTCTATGCGCAACTTCATTAGTGTAATATAAATAATTCCATATAAACTCATTCCCCATTTCTTTGCGATAAATGGTGCACAATAATATGTCCTTTACTAAGGACTACACTATCTCTGAACAAAATTACAAATAAATGATTCAATTTTGTACAAATTTTATTCAAATAGTTTAGGTGTAACAGTATAACAGAGTTATTATTATTGTTTGTTTGAATTAAATAATTTTCAAAACAAGTAAATGGCTTTAGAATTTTTTTACATACAAAAAGCTTAATAATTACTAATTTATACTATTACTAATTTATTAGTTTGTTTATTTTTAATATTTATTACTGCAGTTAACTATTCTTTCTTTTAATCACACAACTTAAAATTGAAGCTTGTAACTCACCTCTGGTGAAATTTGATTCATGTGAAACACAAGAGTGGGAACAGATAGAATCTGTATTATATACATAGTAAGCAGTTTTTCTGAAAACTGGGCAGAGACAAGCGGTCTCAGTGACAATGTCACTATAGCTGTCAGTGCTATATTTTTTAAGCAAACTTTTTCTCTGCAGAGGCCTCGAAGAAGAAGGGACTGAAAACACAAAATATTGATATTATTTGCCTTTATTATTTATTTGTTACATTTTCAAATAATTAAGTTTGGATCTTGGTAAGGCTGTTGAGTTTTTTAATGCATTTAGCTAGTAGAGTGGATAAAAAATTTGTAATGCTTGATAGTTACCATTACAATTGCTCTACCAGTTTACATAATAAAATTTTAATGCACTTGAATGCAAATGTCAATGTTGAAACTAATACTGTACGTCCTTCTTACAGGACAGAAATTCTGAATTCTAACAAGAATTGTAAAAGTATTTCAACAAAATAAGATATTTTTATCCAATCTAACCAAAACAATCATAAAAAGAAATAACATTAAATGAATCAATACCACCAGTTAGAAAACCCAAGTCTTAAATATTTTTTAATCCTACAGGTCATCCCCTACATAAAAAATAATATAAAGTAGCAAGAAAGACTCATAAATATGTAATTTCCTTTAGTAATAACAAATGATAATAACCTTCAACGTCAAGTAGTATCCTTTATGGAAGAGTGATCCCATAACATTTGCACATAACTGTGTCATGCCACCTCTCAGCTTCTCAAAGTTTTTTAATCGAGTTAGTGCCCATGTGTTTGTGGCAGTGAATGCGACCAGAGTGTGGAGATGTATGAGGATGCTCTGCATGTCCAATGGGGATTCTAATTTTAGCATTTCCAAATATAAACAACATTTATATAAGAGATCTTTTATATGTGAAATCCATCGCAAGCTGGAAACAAACAAACAGGGTAATTAAAAATTGACATCTTTTTACTTTAATGAAGTGGAACACCCGCTTTCCCTAAACTAGAACAAGACAAAGCTTAACTAGGAAATGCCTAATCTTAAGAATTGTCTAAGCAGATTTATTTACTGCCAATCAAACAAATTGTATTCTATTTCTTGACACATCTGTGACCTTATTTTAATATACGCAAATGCATAAGGATGTCATGACTTTAACTATTGCTTACTGTTGTTATTAATGAAACACATTTTCAAAACCACTCCCAGAAGGCCCAAAATTTATATAGCTATGGGATCATGTCCCCACCTACAAAATCGTACCTGTTTACTTTTGTTAAATGTAAATAAACTCTATTAAAAATTTTTGAATTTTCATATAAAATGAGAAGAAACTTTTTCTGTTATATCCATAATATAAAATATTAAAAAAAGTGTCTACACCCCTATTGTCAAGTTTGTTGGTTATATACCAATACTTTCATAGATATGACCAATATTTTTGTAGATCCAACAGTGTATTGTATTAATAATATAGTTACTTGAGCAAAAGTTTCAGAATTTAGATGTAGTAAGATATGCTCAAATATTTAGGTGTATGATTGAGGAGACTCCTAAATTAAGTGTAAACTGGCATTACTCTCTTCATCAAAAATATGCTTAGTTAACATACCTGTATTCTTTGTTCAGAAAAACACCAACATAAGAGCACTTTACAGACTCAGAATGTAAACTCTGTACTATATATTTACAGAGTTTTTCGAATCTTTTTCTATCCCTTTTTTGCTGGAAAACTAAGAATAATCTACATGTCACTTTGTATACATCTAAGGCTGGAAGGAGATCCAATGATGGAGGTGGTTCATCTTGAGAACTATTACTTGTGGTCTCTGGGAGGAGCTGATCAAAATCATTCCTGAAATAACAAAATATATGTTAAGAAATATTCATAGTGACGTAGCTGGTCGAATATTTAAATAATAAAAAAATAAAAATAATATATATACAATGCGAAATGAAGCTCTTAGTGAGAGTAATTTATTTTTATATGATAAATAAATAAGTAACAAGGTGAACACTCACAAAATACGCGTTATGAATCTTTTTCGTGCTAACCATCCGCGAATCAAAGATTGTATTTTAACAGCGGATTGTTCTCGTTTTTTTTCCAAGGCGCGTTCCTCACGGGCAGCTTTTGTTTGTTCTAAGAAAGTATCTTTACTCGTTTGTGATTTAGAAAACATTTCTGTAGCTATTGCAGTACCTAACACAAAATATTCGCTTTGTGTATTCGGTTTATTATCTGTCAAGACGTAAGTATCAAATGCATGATAAAGTATAAAACTATTGTCTTTAGTGTGTCATTTTCACTGAAAGCTCCGTGTGAAAATAGAAACACTATTTACTCCATATTTCTTTCTTCATCTCTCTAACAATAAATAACAAAATTAAAAATTTTATAGTAAAGATGAATCTTTCGAACTTACAATGTCTTTTGACATTAAAATAATGTTACCATTACCTTAAACTTAAATTACTACCATAGGTGCGGGCCTAGGTAAAGGTTGGGTAGAGGTATTACTCTTTCATTAATATTCAGAGATAGGAAGTTGTGTCTTATAAATTCACCTTCGCAAGTTTCTGCGTTGGGAATTTCCATTACGCGTTTGGCAGTTTCGTGTACAATGTCTTTTAGCTTTACTATATATAATAGGGTAATCTTGGCAAAGAAAAATGTCATGAATTTTTTTGCACTAAAACTAAAATTTATATTAAAAATAAACATAGATATTCTAATTTTGACTCATAGAATCGCATGAATAATTAAGATTAAAATTTAAAATTACCTGTCTATGTGTCACATGACTTGAAGCACAACCCACCACGATGTAACGTCGTTTAATCGTTATCAAAAACGAACACGTCGTTAATCTAATTTAATCTATTATATAACATTCTCTTAGCAATTGTTATGTGTACACACATAGGAATAACGTCATGAATATGACGGACTACGTTTTCGCGGGTATAAATAGAGTACAAATTTTGATTTAATTTTAAGACGATAAAACGCGTTTAATTTATCGTAAATATATTTTTCATCGTTTATTTAAATTAAGGTAAACAATTAAAAGAACTATTTCAAACGAAATTGAATACCTATTGAATAATAATATCAGAACACATTTTTTTTCTATGATTTAGGACTTAGTTACTATTACATATTTACAAAAAACACCTTTTTAAAAAAAAATTTTGAAAGAATACTTTTTAAAATATTATTTAGCTGTGCAAAGACGTTACAAAAAAATGTTGTCAAATAAATCTACGATACAAGAATATTTTTTCATACAAGCAATCATAGTAGCTATTTTTTACATGGCAAAGGTATTTAGCTTTATTCTGCTTATATCATCAGATATTGTTCAGATACTGCGATTCTGGAAAAATTCAGACCCGATTTCGAATTCACACATGTGTCCGAATTCACTTCAAAAAACGGCATCCGCTCAACTTTGAATTGGTTCGTGGCATAAGTAAAGCGAGTTTCGAAATGACATAGGAATAGAATATCTGAGACACGTATATTTAATCAATTTTGTTTTTTATTTCTATTCCTACATAAAATGGAGTCAATAGAATTTCTACACTCTATTGGGCAGCCCTGGGATTCTATAAAAATCTAGACATGCTTTCTTGCGATGAGTCGTTACCCACTTTTTAAATCACGTAACATAACCGCTATCAGCCCTGCGATTCTTGTAAACATCCAAACCCGAATTCGAATTCACTCAGGCGTCCTACTTCACTTCAAAAAGTGCCACCCGCTCAATCTTGAAAAGCGTTTCGTTACATAATTAAAGTGAGTTTCAAAATGACATAGGAATAGAATATCTGAGACACGTATATCCAATCAATTTTGTTTTGTATTTTTACATTAAAATTGGAACCAAAAAAGTTGTACACTATTAAATTTCTTTTTTTTTGTAATAAGACCCTTGGGTGTTTCATTATTTTGCGCACATTATAATTTAATAATATAACGTTACAATGTTGAGAAGGCAATTCCTAGCGGAATAATCTTTCAGTACATCAAAATAGTTGTGGTTTTTCTCACTATCTAGAAATTTTTATATAAATAATTCTAAAACAAAATGTAATTTGAATTAAACATAGTAACATTAATTATGTATAAATAAGTTAAGTCAAAACATACCGACAACAGTCGAATTAAAATTTCCTTCTTTACATATCAAGTAACTACAAAAGGTCAACTGTATGCAATTATTTTGTATATTATTATCAACAGATTAAGGCATAAAATCAATTGAATAAAGGTACCAACTTGACATATGAGCTGTTTCTCAAAGAAAATAAAAATTTAGCCTTATATTACTAGCATATGATGTATCTTTCGAGTATTTTTAAAATCAGTTCAGTAGTTTCGGAGCCTATTCGGTGCAAACAAACAATTATATTTGTTCTCTTTAAAATACTTTTATTTATTTAAATATACCTAAAACACTTTAAGTTAATTATCAAATTTTACTTGCGCAGTATTGACAATAAAAACACTTGATTATCTATACCAGTGCTTCACAAACATTTTAGCGATGTTCTCGAACTTCTTGGATAACCAAATATTAACACGCAGCCCTAAAATAAAACCTGGTTTCATGTGTACTGTTTATTAATAATCAGTTACATACATACCTTCTTTAACTATGTATTTACTTAACTAAGATTATTTCCGAGCAAGTTTGATAAATATGGGTGAAGACAGTAAACGAAAATAAATGCATTAAATTTTTTTTGGTAGTGTTTAATATACTATTACCGATAACCACACTTTCATGCTTATGATTATATTATTATATATTATATTATTGCTTAACTTAATAATGAAAAAACAAATATTTTATATTCGTTGTCACATGACCGCAAACAGCGCATGACGTCTCGACCCTCTTACTTATATAAGAACTTAGAGAATTCAACCTTATGCATAATATGTCGCAGCCAGCTGGTATAATCAGCCGACCAATTAACAGACTGACTTTCGATTAGCCGAGTAGCTGAATACGGCTGAACAGAGGGTCAGCTAACTAAATGTCTGTCAACTCACCGGGAACACCGATATTTACTTGTAAAAATAGAAGTAAAACAAAAAATATATTGCAGTTGGTGATTTTATATAAAACTCAGGTTTGTTAGTAATATACCACAAATAGTTTCGTAGATCTCCAAGAGTGTTTTGTTTTAATAATACCTAGTTACTTGAGCAGAAGTTCAAGAATTTGGATGAAATAAAAACTTATGCTCAAGTAACACTATACAATTTGTATTCAGTAACTTGGTAGTTATATTATCTATTTGTAGGTTTGGATATTTTTACTTCTTACGAAGTCATAGGAAAACACCTAGTTGTATAAATAAGATTTTTTTTTAAATGGATTGGATGTATTTTATTTATTTCACCAATATAATATAGTTACATATATAGTCAGTGAGTTATTTACTAATAAGCAAGTTAATTACTTATCGAGTTTACGACGATTCTGACGTCACGTTTTGGTATTTTCTGTTTACACCCATTCCCGCTAATCGAGAGTACAAAGTTGTTTGTCTTTAAACTAATAGGTACATATAAATAATCAAGTCGAACGATCAGTTTGTCAATGTTTCGTTGCATTCGGTGTTTGTCGCGTTGGTTCATCGTGTTTGACCACAGGGTCAGATAAATATTTATTCCTCTGTAGATTACTGGTGTTGAAATGGCTCCATTTATTTTATCTGTGATATCCTTAGTGTTCGGTAAGTAACTTATTTTTTTTTACTACCATAATTTTAAGCAATCGTTGATTAAACAAAAAATATTATATCTATCAATTATTTATTGGATCACCTAATTTTGCACTGATAATTTTTAATAAATTAATTTACTTCTAGTAAAGTATATAGTATAAAACAAAGTCGCTGTCTCTGCCCCTTTATTCCTATGTATGTTTAAATCTTTAAAACTACGCAACGGATTTTGATGCGGTTATTTTTCATAGATAGGGTGATTCAAAAGGAAGGTTTTTATTGTATAATACAAGACCACGCGGAAAAGCTAGTGAATAATAATAAAAAAATATACAGAAAAATACTAGAAAATTTGTTTTTTTTTTTTCTCTTTGTTTCATGTGTGATAATTATGAACTTATACTGGTTTTCGTTTCTTTTATGGAGGAAAAATTAATAAATTAATGTTTAAAGTTTTATGATAGAATAATATGACCAAATAATTTGCCCGAGTGATAAAAGAAGAAATAATAAATGAGGGTATTCGTACAAAAAAAACCTGTATTCCATATTCAAAGATCACGATAGTTTTAACACGGTAGCTATGTTTTAACCCTTACATCTGGCGTCTTAAACCGTGATCTTCTGTTTCTAAAATATTACTACTTCCGTGAATTGTTTATACATCACTAGATTTTATAGATGTCACAGTATAAACAAATGTTGAAAATTCGAACATTCACATTTCAATTTTTCATTTTCAATTTATTTACTAGCCACTTAAAAACAATATTGTTATACAAGTCAGTTCACAATTCATAGTATTTATTTATTTATAGATATCTTCAATTAAAACTAAATGTCTAAAAAAAATCTTATAGTATCTTATTTAATCATGTCATAAAAGTAGATTCGCTTATACGCATCGTCAAAAACTCATTTAAGGAATAGAAAGGATTTTGCTAGAAAAAAAGATTTCAAAATACTTTTAAAGCTTCTGTGGTTTCTGTTTGTAATACTTCAAGGTAATTTGGTATACATTATTATTTTTAGATAAATACCCTGTTTTTGAACTTTTTTTAGTTTTACCTTTGGATGACGTTGATTATATCGATGACAATCACCTTTTCTTACAAAATTTGCTTTTTCTACATGGATTTCCAACAAGTTTTTTCAGTACATAAACAATTGTTTTCTTTTATTTTTGCACGTTTCATTTCTACGATCTTGACACATTTATCGAAGATATTTTCTGTTCACAGTATCAGTAGTTAGCGGAGACAGTCCGTTCCGATCGGATTACGTTTACAATAAGAAGACTGACGCTTACTATAAGCTTCATACTGAAACTTTCAATTACGAAGATGCAAAAAACGTTTGCGAAATTGAAGGGGCTGGCCTTATGCTGCCCACGCACCTCGACATCATCCAACTTCATGGTATGCTGAAGAGGTTCCCTGATATCGGCGACATAGTGTGGGTCGCAAACGATGGTCAAGATCATGAGTCTGCTGAAGAACCTGCTCTTATAGAGTGTAAGTAATATATCAAAAGAAAACAGTTTTATACCTATCTGTATGTTGCAGGCGTATGCTTATAATGAGCTAATTAAGATCATATATGTTGATTTGACTTATCATTTATATGTTGGTTTGACTTCGATTTGTCTTGGGCTCATCATAAAATAAAACGTATCTTTAAAGAAAAAATGTTTAAAATATCAGTATAGTAATATAAATGTTGACCTAATTATCACTGGTAAACAGTATTTTTATTAAACAAAATCGAGTCGGTTTTTTAAACACTACTACCTACCTGCATATAAACCTCATACTTAGTTTTGTTCAATCACCCTCAGTTTTCGTTAAACAAACT